TCCAGCTATTTTGCAGGTTTGTTCAAAGCCAGCCGCACGATGACCGTGATGACACTGACCGTGGTTTCGCAGTTGCCGCCTGTGCTGCGGTAATATACGATTGGGGTGAGCAAGATTAAGTATGAATACACCACTGACATTATGGGACTCCCAGTACTTGCATTCGGACAAGAGGTAGGTCGACACATGATAGGAATAATCATCCTGCTGACAACAGTTTTATAGGTGGAACTAATTTGGGTGAGCGGACTCTCACATGAAAAGAACGATGTGAAAATATGGCAACTGATTTGCGGCAGACGCAACGGTGGTCCATGATGACCATTTTGTATCTCATCGTACGTAGCTTGTGTTTTCAAGTGTGGTTAGCAAGTTGTATTGACGGAAACATATCCTAGGCACGATATCTTGGAATAGGATTTGTTGTGTATGTTTCGACGTCTAAACCACCAGTGTTGTGCTCATTACTCATCTCTTACAATCAGGATCAGGATGTTTCGTACGTCTTCTCGCATAGAATCTCCTTCTTTCTTCTGACGGGTGGCATACAGTCAGTGTTCCGACAATTTTGATGACAGATGCAGTAAGTATTCCGCACTGATGTCTTTCATTCCCGTCCAAACAACTGAATTACTGTGTAGGGGTGAGTGAGGTTCTCGAACAATTCATTGGTTCAATATAATGATTCCCACAGTTGTGAGTTTGTTGCGAGCCTGTGATCCTCCGAAGCCCATAATTAATGTTGCTGGATTCATCAGGCCTTATCATGACCGACGCCCTTGCTTGGGCGTCCGACGTTGTAAATGCAATACTGGGCGGTGAGCTACTAGGCTACACACCTCCGTGGTACTGACTTGACTGAAATATAATCAAAGTCATCATGATCGCTCGGTTGCATGCTATGTATCAGCGATCCAGAAAGGTGCTGATATTCCTCATTGTCATCTTTCTGGCCATGAGAATCGCCAACGTGGTCATGGTCGCAATAACAACGACGCAGGATTCAGCAGGTAAGCTTTAATTATGCATGAGATATTCAAGTGCATCAGGCTCATTGCCAAGTACCAGAGGAACTCGTTCTCTCCGGCACCTATCATTGCAACGTAGACTATGCGGGAGATTCCCTATTTCTGAGTTCCTTGACTTGGATATTTGTCACTATATGGGAGATCACTGCACTGTGTCTCGCAGTCTGGATTGCTATAAAGCACTTCCGCGAACTGCGAAGACACTCAACAAGAGGTATCATCGGGGACTGTTTCACAGTGTTAATGAAAACTCATGTGATTTACTTTGCGAGGTGAGCTCGTAATTTGAATGTGGTTCTCTTGTTTTACTCACATTCTGCATGTGCTAGTTTTTTTGCTTTTGCTTGTTTCAATATCGGTTTATTTAGTCCAACGCTCTCAGCGGTATGTTGATCTGTCACCGACCTGTATTGCGCCCATGATTCGTCAATTCTACAGGACATGTATTTTCTGGACGTTCAGATTTATTATGGTTTCGCTGTAATTTCCGAGATGGTGCAGCTGTCTGTACTGGGACCACGCCTCATCCTTAGCGTTCGAGAATATCATGCAAAACTCGTGGCCGACTCCGATACAACAAGCGCTATGACTTCAATTGCTTTCCAAGAGCGCGTCCATGTGGAAACTAGCAGTAGCGTTTAGTGCAGGACATTTTCGATCTGATTGTTTTGCGATGAGCGGGTAGTCTATAGGGGTATTTAATCCAGCGAAGAGTATACACGATTCTCGACATTAAGGGGGCACCCGAAACTTGGACGCCGTGGCTAACATTACATAATCGCACTTATGAAGCTTTAACTCACGTTGAGGACCTTTTCTTCGAAATCATCACCATGGCAATTGGTTTATCGTCGTTTCCTATAAAGCTGATATGTCGCATTCTACTCTTCCTCACTTCCAAGGACATTTATCGCTGTGCAATTGTCTGCTCTTTTCATGTGTTCTGTATTTCTGCCATGCTAGCTTCAATGAATCACGTTAGACGACTTGCAAAATTGTCTGGGATGCAGCTCAAAATTCGGTCCACATCCAATACAAGCTTGGGCGCTTGAGCTTTATGCACACATCAGCAAACTACAGTAGTGATGCATCGGGCCCGGCCTGAGGTCCTTTGGGCCAAGCCCTCGTAGGTCAGACCAACTTAAGCCAGGCCCATCAAGAAACCACTGAAATCCTTATTTGCTGCATCTGGTATAAGTAGTAGACGTCTAGACATCGAAGCAAATATAGATAAATAAGGTGCGGTGTTCAATCAACTACTGTTGCGCAGTAAACCAGGCTTACATATACGTCCACTAGCAAATGATTCCCCTGCTCGCTCACCCGACCTCTAATAGTATGACTGTAGTCTCGAACGATGCCAGTTGGTGGCCATTCATCAATGCAGATATTATTTTCAGCTGTTTTGCAGGTTTGTTCAGAGCCAGCTGCACGATGACCATGATGACTCTATCAAAACTGACTGCGGTTTCGTAGTTGCCGCCTGTGCTGCGGTAATATACGATTGGGGTGAGCAAGATTCAGTATGAACAGACCACTGACGTTATGGGATTCTAGTACTTACATTTGGACAAGAGGTATGTCGACACCATGACAGGAGCAACCATCTTGGTGACAACAGTTTTACAGGTGGAACTGGTCTGGGTGAGCGCACTGCCACATTAAAAGACCGATGTGAAAATACAAGAACTCATTCGCGTCAGAGGCAACGGTGGTCCCTGATGACCGTCCTGTATCTCATTGTATGTAGCTTGTGTTTTCAAGCATGGTTAGCAAGTTGTACAGACAGGAACGTATCCTAGGCACGATATCTTGGAATAGGATTTGTTATGTACGTTTTTCTACGTCTGAAACATTGGTGTTGCGCTCATTACCCATCTCTCACAAACAGGATCAGGATGTTGTGTATGTCTTCTCGCATGGGCTCTGTTTCTTTCTGGTAACAGGGAACATACAGTCAGTATTCCGACGATTTCGACGACAGATGTAGTGAGTATTCCACACTGATGCCTTCCATTCCCGCCTGAACAACTGAACTACCGTATAGGGGTGAGTGAGATTCTCGCAGAATTCGTTGGTTTAATATAATGATTTCCATGGTAGTTGTGAGTTTATTGCGAGCCTGTGATCCTCCGAAGCTGATAAGTAATGTTACTGGATTCATCAGGCCATATCATGTCCGACGCTATTGCTTGGGCGTTTGATGTTGTAAATGTAATACTGGGCGGTGAGCTATACACCTTCGCGATATTGACTTGATTGAAATATCATTCAAGTCATCATGATTGCTCGGTTGCATGCTATGTATCAACGATCCAGAAAGGTGCTGATATTTCTCGTTGTCATCTTTCTGGCCATCAGAATTGCCAATGCAGTCATGGTCGCAATAACAATGACGCAGGATTCAGGAGGTAAGCTTTAATAATGCATGAAATGTTCGAGTGCATCAGGCTCATTGCCAAGTACCAGAGGAACTTGTTCTCTCCGGCACCTATCATTGCACCATAGACTATCCGGGAGATTCCCTATTTGTGAATTTCATGAGTCTGATACTTGTCACTGTATGGGAAATCCTTGCACTGTGTCTCGCAGTCTGGATCGCTGTGAAACACTTCCGAGAACTGCGAAGACACCCAACAAGAGGTGTTATCGGGGACTGTTTCACAGTGTTAATGAAAACTCATGTGGGTTACTTTGCGGGGTGAGCTCATAATTTGGATGTAGTTCTCTTGTTTCGCTCACGTTCTGCACGTGCTAGTTTTTTTGCTTTTGCTTGCCTCAATATCGGTCTACTCTGTCCAACACTCTTGGCGGTATGTCGATCTGTCACCGAACTGTGTGCGCCCATGATTCATCAATTCCATAGGACATATTAATCCCAGATGTTGAGATTTATTATGGCTTCTCTATAATCTCCGCGACGATGCAGTTGTCTGTGCTGGGTCCACGCCTCATCCTCAGTGTTCGAGAATATCATGCAAAACTGGTGGCAGACTCCGATACAACAAGCACTATGACTTCAATTGCTTTCCAGGACCGTATCGATGTAGAAAATAACAGTAGCGTTTAGTGAAGGACATTCTCGATCTGATTGTTTTGTGATGGGCGGGTAGTCTGTACTAGGGGTGTTTGTTTTTGTCCATTCCAAGTTTCGTCATGGTGCTTGCTTGATTTATTGGATGTTACGAAATGCAAGCAACTCTGTTATTCATCGATCATCCTGCACATAGTAAATAGTGGTCACCTCCGTAGCTAGGCAGAACATCTGAAATATCTTTTGCAGTTTGCAACGCAGGGACAGCTTGGGCACCAAATTCCCACGATGCGCTAAAATGCCTCACTAAGAAGATCAAGTTGTGCTCTCTCAATTGCCACCACTTTTGCATCTCCTTCGACTTCTTGCAGCTCAAAGCTCCGCCAAATTAGCGCAGAATATTACAGGTCTTCGACTGCAAGATATACGATTTACTTGGGAACGAATGGGCTGTCGTGATAAAGTTGCACTTCTGTCAACCTGCCCAACAACATAATGCACATTGTGTGCGACCTTTGCAGCGCCTCTTGCATGTCAAGTCAACTCGAAATCGTGCACTCGACATTCATACATTGGAACAAGAATTGTACGGTGAAACAGAATCCAGATGTTGTCAAGACACAGACCAATATGAGTGAGAGCGTAGTTCTCATGAAGCCTAATTTGTCTACGTCTTGACACCCTGTTTTTCTCGATTCTTTTGCGACGATCTGGGATAATTCCATCTTCTATCTACCACCCACTGGCTGCCCATGAAAGATCAACTATATTGTGGTCAGCGCCCCACGTCGTTCCGCTAGGGGAAGGCAGTTCCCACGGGTAGTCAAGTTGGTTGTTTGGACCTGCTGCGCACACCTGTGAACGCTTACAATATGAACTGGCAATCATTGGCGATCTATCTCTTGTGTTCGAGTCAAATCTGTCTCGCAGACAATGGTATGGTTATGTCCATGGATGATGGCATGACTCTTGCCGTAGGGAACATGCTGTCGTATCTACACTTTACCCAGGAGACACTCGTGGGTTATATCTTCTCACCTACATACAATGAGCTCTTCTAACAGGACTGTATACAGTTTGGTTCCTTGGCTGGGTTCCTAAGAGCTCTGGGGCCATGGTTGGCACATGTTTCGCACTGTTTATGTTGGCGATGATCGAGCGCTGGATAGTGGCTTGTCGAGGAGTGATGGAATTTCACTGGAGCCAACAGTACATCCTTTTCCTTCTTTTGTGTACTTTATTTCTTACGCATGATCAGGGCGATTATCATTGCATCGGACAAGCTCGATACTCTACCAACTCGGTCATCTCCCATTAGATCATAAAGCACTTCACTCCTCCCTTTATTCCTGCGCATGATATCTCACGTGGGGTCATGTTTGTAGCGCAGACTGCTGCTGAATTACCTTTTCATGCTGACAATTATGTACGTTGTGTCGCTCTTTTTGTTCAGTCGAGTTGTTGATGTGTTGGGCGTGGACAGGACGTTCCAACTAGGTTTCATATTATCCCTTGTGGTGGGGCTCGGAGTGGGAGAAACTCTCTTTGGAAGGTTTGGTAGTGTTACGCATGCGCATTAAATCCATGCACATCCGTTTTTGTAAGTATAGAATGGCTGCAAAGTATCGACGTCTCTTCGTTATCGTTGGGCATGCCAAGCTAAGATACAGTGTATTACTAATCTAATTGAAGCTCTTAAGTTGAGCAGGCGGAGCTGTGTCTCTGTGACAGTGGCCCTCGACGATTGCTGGAAGATGGACCATGCATGATATCATGCACAGATAATGCAGCGCTTGTGATTGAGCTCGGTGATCGCTCCTTGAATGATACCATGTTTTTCCGCAGTAGTGGGCAACAGGTGTACAGAGTCAGATTTCCAAATGACTTTGATTATTCGAGAGTGATGAAATATATTGCGTCACAAAAATACGTAAGAGGCAGCGCGAAGACCGTCTCTTATAAGCGCCTGAGTATTACTACTGGCTATCGATGGGCGCTGAGCGTCGCAACCGCGTTGAGCCTAGAGGCCATCCAAGTCAGTATGTGAAATTTCACGTCCATTGTTCCCGGTCCCGTGACTAGTGTGACCTTGTCGGACTACGTTAGCAAGCAAGCTTGTGAAATCGACAGCGCCTCTGTCATCCGGTAAAACCTAATAGCAACCAAACCGAATTCGGGATGCGAATATCACAAGGCTGCTCGCGTCCGACGTAAGCCTGTTTGAGTTGTTCCGTGTCGTCCATCTAAGTAGCGTCTGGTTGTATCCTCCTCTCAACTTCACATGGGCAAACAACTTCCTGCATCTGAGCTCAGGCGAGACGAGTCCCTTAGAGTTGTAGACAACCGCACTGGGAAGGAATACACCGTCCCGTGCGTCCCTCTTCCTCAGAATTTTGACTTCGATTGACACCATGCAGGATCACCCACAACTCGATTCCTGCGAACTTCTTCAAGGGCATTCGTGCTGCTCCGGGTCCAAACTGACAGACCCGAAGACGAGACAGAACGCGGTTTACGTGTAGCTGATAGAGGTTTTCTCAACACAGCCGTGATTGAGAGTCGTATAACATACATTGACGGCGACAATGGGATATTGCGGTACAGGTACGCACGCATTCTTCTCTTGTCATTATACCACTCATCAAATTTCCGTAGGGGCTACCCAATTGAGCAACTCGCCGAACGCTCCTAGCTTCCTTGAGGTTTCCTATCTCCTCATATATGGCGCGTTGCCCAGCCCGTCCCAATTAGTCCCACTTCACTAGCGAGGTCCTCCTTCCACGGGCCAATACATTCTGATGCAGAAGGATTCTTCCGCTCATTTAGGTACTGATGCTCACCCCATGTCGATGCTTACAAGTGCTTTTGCATACTTGGGAAGCTACTATGGGGAGGCAAATCCGAGTCTGCAGGGTGAGTTAGTAAGACCTGGAGTATTCCCTCATTTTAGTGACCTTTTATAGGGCAAGATTTGTTCACTAAAGCTGCCAAGGGTGATCCTGCTGCACTCCAGAATATGGATAGGCAAATCTTCAGGCTGATCGGTAAAGCCACCACATTAGCTGCGTGCGTACTAGTAGTTGTCCACTTCTTCGTTCGCTGATAATAGTACATGTAGCATGGCATACCGTATCCGCCAGGGCCGTGATTTTGTTGTGCCTCCAACAGGAATGAGCTATACAGAGTCGTTAGTGACCATTTCACTAGTTTTGCATTACTATATCTTGAACTCTTCACACGCAAGGTTCCTCTACCAGCTCGACCATCTCTCACCTACAGATCACCTGTCAGAGTCTCACTCAAACAAGCCACATCCTGTTCTTGCAAAGGCACTCGACATCCTTTTTATCCTCCATGCCGACCACGAGATGAACGCAAGTTCAACAACCGTACTCCAGACTGGGTCGTCGTTACCTGATCCGTTCAGCGCCGTTGCGGCAGGTTGTGCATCACTATAGTGAGTACTGTTCAGCGCCCTACTAACCCTACCTCCTGAGGCTTTTCGAGGTGGAGTTGCCTTTAATGCACTTCTACTCGTACTTTGACATTTTTTGTTCATTTATGAGCTTTCGCTTCATGTCGATACTGACGAACTCCCTTCTCAGCGGCCCACTCCACGGAGGTGCGAACGAAGCTGTTATTCGGATGCTTCTTTCCATTGGCAGGTCCGTTTTTGTAGCAACTATTTTTTTTCCCGTCTCCTCACATCTTTATCAAGTCCCAAGAACGTCCCTGCCTTTTTAGAAGCAGTAAAGAAGCGCCAAAAGGTGCTAAGTGGATTCGGCCACAGAGTATATAAAACTGTGCGTAGTCATTCTCCTACTATTTGCTGTCCTGATGATTGTTGGCAATCCGCAGTCTGATCCGCGCTCATTTATCATCCGTAAGGTGGCTGATGAGGTGTTTGCTGTGTAAGTGTTCATCATTGCGGCGAAACTGTGGGATTGATACTGGGATCAAGGACGGGTCGTGATCCATTGCTTGATACTGCGATGGCTCTGCATGATGCAGCACTGAAGGATGATTACTTCGTATCGAGGAAGTTAGCTCCGAACGTTGATTTCTGGAGGTGAAATTTATCTTTGTCCAATCATCGACATGATTTGACTTTCATCTATCAGCGGGTTGATCTACCGTGCAATGGGTAAGTGCCAGCATTGTACGAAGACGGAAAATGTGTAACACGGTAACGGGTAGGCTTCCCGATGGACTTCTTCCCAGTCCTGTTCGTTGTACCCAGAGTTGTGGGCTGGGTTGCACATTGGCGACAGGTGCGTATACCCTTCGTCTTCTTCCATCCCACCGACTCACTAGTCGCTTATATGCAGATGATGCTTTCTCCGTCGGGAGTCAAGATCTGGCGCCCTCGACAACTTTACCTTGGCCCATCCACACGTGATTACGTACCTCTAGATGAGCGCACGGGTGCTTTCCAAGTTGGTGTTGGCATGGAGCCGAGCGTGATTGAGCATTCAGGGTATGTGTAATCCTCAATGATATGGCAGGATACTGATTTACTGGGCAGGATGACGAAGAGGCGGAAGTTGGCCGAGGCTGCTGGAAAGGTCAGGAGCAAACTTTGAGTGTGAGGGTGTAAGATTTGCTATTACTCATATACCGTTGAATGCCAACGATGTCTTGCGATTTTCGAGCCTTTCTGTAAAGATTCTAAATGTTCCTGCGCGTAAGTAGTCCAAGGACGTGACCCTCGGAGACAAAATTGTCTCGGTTTCTGGAACGCGATCTAACACCGTTGGGTGGTCAATGTGTTACATCTTCGCATCGCCATGACCTCGCACCGCATTTTCATCTACATTCGACCCCAGTCACAGACTAGATCCGTCAAGATCAAGCTCTGAGTCAGTTGCGGCCCGGAGCTTCACACCAGTAGGTCATTTGAGACAAACAAAATAGGGTAACAAGAGCAATCAATCATAGGTATCGCTTCGAGATGCTAATATATGCCCACATACGCACGCTATCTATTATTGTCCATCAATCATTCCAGTATTGAGAGAAAGCGTGTCTCAAGGGAAATTCTGAACGAGGCAGACCAAACGAGACAAGACTTAGATTTCATGAGACGTCCTAGTTCCAGTATCCACTGCGGGTACTTCACATGCTGCAGTGACATGATTTAGTTATGATCATCATTGAAACACAGCTGTGATTTCAAGTACCTGCGGCTGCTGCAAGAAATCCCATCCTGAAGTTTTCTTCCCGTTGCGTAGCACATGCTTGCTATTGGATATCATCAATTACTTGTCATTCAAGGCGGAAGAGACCAAACTTTGAGGTGCTGTTTTAAAATCCTGCATTCATCTCGTACCTCAGTCAACCTGTGGTACGCCGTGTACTTGTTCAATTCGACACGAACGTTTATGAGCCTTTCTGAAATGAGAAGGTGACACACGAGACAAATACAATATATGCACGGCACCTGCTGAACTCCTGGCTGAATGACTTTTGTTCTTCGTCAGTGATCAGGTCGGTGTTACAGGACAGGATTGTGAGAGCATCTGTCAGGTACCCTTCGATTTCTTTAAGAATTTTCTTTGGGGATGGATTATGTAGCCAGCGGAAATGCATATGAACTTCAGTAAAGTCTTGGAATAGGTTTGTATAATGGGCGAGTGCTGAAGCGTACCTCCAGCAGGTCGCATATTTCTATTCCTCCAGGGAACAACAATTGCTGGTTTAGTTGTTGTTCAACGGTGAAACTTTTTCACGGGACTGCAGAATAATAATGATATTGGTAGGCAAGGAGATAGAAGTCCCGGCGAGGACCCACAAAGTCGCCCACGAAAGAGACAAGACTGTAATGTAGAGCTGTTGTGGAAGCTTGTGCATTTCTTTGGAGACGGACTAGTAGTTCTCTGACTGTGAGTGTCTATGTCCATGATGGTAGTTCATGCGCTATCCCATTCAAGTCCATCTCCAGCGTCAGTAGTAACGAAGATGAGCGAAATTATTATTGAACTCACATGCAGTACATATGCACATGTTTGATCCACAGAGGTAGATTAGTCATTTCTAAAAGCAAGATTTAACTCACTAAACGCTCAGGCCTGTGGGCCGTAGGCGCTTGAACCGCCCCAACTCGGGGTGTGGCTGACTCAACTGTTGATTGTGATGTTAGAGCTGAATAAAACACTCAGACACAAAACACAAGATGTCCAGTACTAGACCTTGTGGCAGCGACACAATGGATTAGAGAAAAAAATGTCTGCACTGGTTCAAACGAGAGTCAGAAGATCTTTGTTCATCTTGAAGAATGTCTGAGTCAACCTTACATAATGTAGAACACACAGCTCTGGCACCAGGCCCGTCCCATCCCACAGTGTAACATCCTCGCTTTTGGCTTGAACAGATTTTAATATTAATAGTACTTGCGCATTAACCTGCGAAAAATGTTTGACATGGTGAATGCAGCGGGGTTCTAAATGTTATTGATTGTATGCTTGACATGTTGAGGCATGCCATCCGGAACCCTCCATCTCTCTCTTCTCCTACTCTCACCGCTTCCCCTTCCGCGTATACCCCGACCCTCCTTACAAACGCCACAACACGCGAATTTACAATATGTTCGCTACACTCTTTTCAGTCACTCTCTTTGTCGCACTTGCCATCCAAGGCGTATTTGCTGATCTTACAATTGACACCCCCAGCCTCACTCAGGTAATCCGTCTAACTATACATGACCTCTTGGGGTGCTGACTTACCTGCGCCAACTTGAAATTAGTGTGGAAGTGTTCTACTCAGTTGGACAGCTTCAAGCCCTCCCTACAACCTTCTTGTAGCTCCCGCAGATGATCTCTGTGGCGAGGCCCTGTGTGTTTCTTTGAACCTCTTCTGGCTCATGCAATCTTATGTTCTTGGTATGCAGCGTTGACCTTGGTCAACAGACCGGTCTTTCATATCAATGGAACGTCGCCCTTGCTGCCGGCACTGCAATTGTCCTTTTCATCGAAGATTCCCAGGAAAATGAGGCTTGGAGTGGAACTGTGAGCGAAGTGTTTTCCTTTATTCAACGAGGGACTTTTTTTTAACACGAATACCAGATAACGGTGGCAGCTAGCAGTGACTCGTCATGCCTGACCAGCACCACCTCATCTCATAATGCATCTGCCGTTTCTGGCACTCTGTAAGCTTTCATGTCGACAAATTGACATGCGTGAAGCTAACTTTTGCGTTGACAGGCTCACAAGCCCTGCTGCAGCTGCTGAATCCACAACTTCTCCATACTCTCCCGCTGGCGCTGCTAATGCGGGTCTTGCTCCCTCCAGCGGTGCCTTGTCCATCCGCCCTCTCAGCGCTTTGACCTCCGTTGGTTCTGGACTTTTTGCCCTTTTTGCATTAGCTCTATAACAGCCTTGATACCCATCTGTTTACGACGGGTGATACCCCGCTGGCTGATTTATTCAAATTTACAATTATCCTGGTGATGTCACGAATATATCTATCTTAGACACGTCTTTCCACGCACGGAGCTGGGTTTTCTTTCCTTTCTTTTTTGATTGGTGATTTATAGTAGATGCTCGAAGTGTTGCTACTATTTCACTAGATGCGATGAGTTTTATATCTTGGTCAACTGTAATTTGGAATCAATCTTGTACCATGTTTCTGTGGGCCATTTGAGGTCTCAGGAGGCCCATCCGAGACTAGTTCGAAAGCGTTCCACATGTTTGGAACCTGACCGGGTTTCACTACAAATTAATTATTATAACGCGGGCCACTACGTCATTGAACATACCGTCCGATGTAAGTATAGGGGAATGAATAATTCATCCGCCAGCGCTCCGCCAATATTGTTGTGTAACCTCCTTCCAGTTTATATATGTTTTCAACATCGATATTTCCGATTCACTTGATAGTTATACGAGATATCCGGACAAATATAATTTTCAACTCATTACAGATCCATATATATGTGTCACAAATAACTTATTGGTATAAAGTGAGTAACCATCGAAGTAATAAAGTAGCGGAGTGTGAGTTATGGAGTACGCTCGCAGCGCTTGCTGTGCGCTGTTGTAGGATAGGTACCGTATGTGGCTATAAAGTGGCAATCAGCCAAAAACAGTGATAGGAATGTAGGTAATATTATGCCAAGAAAGGGTCGCGTGAACCTGGCCGACTGTGCTGTGTATGCCCGCGTACACAGCCGGAACGCGGGGATCCTCGCTCAGCGCTCATGGGGGATAGAGTACTGATATCTAGATGACGCAATATAACTGGATGTGGTGCTTCAGGACCAAAAACAGGGTTTGAGGCACATACAGGAACTGACCTCAAGCCTCAGGGGAAGTGGAAATCTCCACATGTTCAAGTCCGCGCCAGAGCTCGCCAGATCTGCGAGAGGGTGCGTCTCGTGCTACCTCTTCGTGCTCGATCCCCTTCCAGAGCTCACCGGACCGCCGGGAAGGAGCAAGTCTGCCTGATGAGACTGTTAATAAAAGATTCCGACTAGACATGTTTGAAAGATCACCTTCTGCGATGGCTGTTTGTGCAGGTGCTGCAGTGACCTTCTCATGAACATTGTTCTTCCACAGAGCACCAACAGGGGTAGTCCGAGCAGAAGAAGTAGTGGTGGTATCGGTGGTCACTGGAATAGCAGCACCGAAAACAGAGAATGTGAGAGCAAGAGCGACTGTGAAGCGTGTAAAAGAAGTTAACATGATAGTAATGAAATTAGGCTAAAGATATGTGTTTGAGTGGATGAAGTGAAGATTAAAGGACTGTGAAGATCTAAATGCTTGAAGTCTTCAAGCCATTTATACGAATGACTTTGCTTTGACTTTGCTTGGCAAGCACAGTGCGAGAGGCCCCGTTGACAACCAGTACGAGTCATATCGGGTCAATTCTATGGTGAAAGCACTGTTCATGCCGAAGCAATGATAATTCTCATAAACGGAATAGGCAGTGAGTTGTGAACAATACCTGTCCCGAGAGGCATCAACGTCACCCTTTCATATAACGAGGCAATCCGACAACCTCAGCCACAGATTTTACAAAATTCATTCTGTTCCTATCGCACGGAGCCGATTGACAGAAATAGCGCTCGGGAGCATCGGTATGAAGACTCAGCGCTCTGACTCGGGCTTGATGAAACGCCTCAATCGCGGTTGTCAGGGGATAGTAAGCCATGGGCGGGTGAAGAGGCCCTAGCGCATGCAGAAACTATGTTCTTCGGTGTCCTGACATATTAGCAGGTGGCGAAAGGAGCTAACGGACCGAGCAGTGTGAGTAAAAGGTGACGGCATTAATAATGATGCCGCATCTGACTCGAGAGATGAAATCCTCGCCACAAGAGTAGTCAAGACCAAGTGTCGTACACTGCCAGCATCCTCAGGCTGTGTCCAGCTCACCATGAACACGAAACCAGTGTTGATATCTGGGTTTGCCCGTCAGTTGTTGCAATGATTGTGAAGACCAAGAATGGAAGATCCAAAGAAGCCATAATTTGAGAAAGCTGTAGTACTAATGTTGAGCACAAGTGCTCAATGGAAGGCGGAATGATTAGTTAAACTTGGCTCAATCAATACTTTGTACTTTCTGATTTTGGTATGCGGTCCATGATGCAATGATATCAAGCGGAGTCCTAGCGGACTGTCAAAACCTGGCGGCACGCTACGGCCGCATCGCACCAACGATCGTTTGTATCAACAGCCATGACGACGATGGTTGCAGTTGAATTCTTGTCACTTCCGACAGAGCTGATATGTCATATTCTATCCTTTCTTACTCCCAGGGACCTTTGTCGCTGTGCAATGGTCTGGTCTTTTCGTGATTATCATACATGTTTATCCTATGCTAACTTCCGTTCAACGCTAGACGTGTAAAATCGTACGGAATGCAGCTCAGAATTCTATCCACGTCCAATACAAGCTTGAGCTTTATGCTCAGGGCTTTACCGAGACAAGAAATGTAGACTCGATCGATGTTGACAGCAGGATGTCCTCACTCAAGAGATTGGCAACCTTATGGCCATCTGTTTGCCACGCCAGTACTATCTTCGAAGATACAGTGCGTATCGGGAACCACTCATCAGAAGTACGCGATATGAAATGCGGGATTTGGTGGATGTGGGTCAATGGCAATATCTTCATTCGGGACTGCAACACAAATATCAAACATTCTCATTCGTTCCCCATACACGAGCAGTTCTTCCAGGATCGGTTGCCGAGATCGGTGAGAGCGCTTGTCGTCGATCCTATTCAGGATCTTGTGGTCGTAGTCCCCTTTCCTGATATATGCATCGTGACCGGTGCCGAGCAAATTCGCCATATCTTTTCGGTGGATTTTTTGTCGGCTTCATCCCTGCTGCCACATCCAGATTCCTTGGATGCTTCCTTGAAGTGCCAACATTCTTTTGAGAAATCTGGCCGTTACCATACCACTTTAACGGGAGACCCTGTGATATGCGGGGATCGTATAGTTGTTTGCTATCACACGATATCTGATCCACTAAGAAAAGTGAGGCCCGACGTATTCATACAAGTGATCGATTGGAGGAAAGGGCGTACGAAGAATGTAAGTCGACTTTTACTTTTGAAACCCTGCCGCTCAGCATAAGCAGTATCCTTTACGTGAAGATTTTGCGGGTTTCCATCTAATCGACGAACAGAAGTTTATTGTCATCGACACTCGGGGTATCATAACTTTGTACACATTAGAAGAACATGGCTCACCCCTGCGCCGAGTCATGTATCGCCTTCATGAATCCGTGCGTGCGCCGTTCTACCTATTTCATGCCACCCCATCGTTCCATGGTGCAACAGCTTGTCCAGACCTTGAGCCCGGCTACGTGCCCTCTCCGGAGTCACAAATCATTGTCTTGAAGACTCTCACAAACGCATGCCCTGTCATTCTGGTTATCGATATGGTCATCTTCTCAAGAAAAGTCTTGCACTCAGATGCGCCTGTCGAAGTTCCCTGGACGGAGTGGGGACCCCAGTATACGTGCTGCTTTCGGCATCATCCAAGTTACCAAATCAGCGTATTTGGCAGCAAAATAGCCTATGCTCTTCCTCGCAATGTTCATCCTTGGGAACTCAACTATAAAGTTGGAGAAAGGCAAGCGCTCGGCAGTCATGATCGTTTCTATGTGCACATCTTGGACTTCAATCAACGAGCCATCGCTCGTGCAGAAAATATTTACGGCCTCGACTCACCCACCCACTTTATATGCAAGCTTTCTGATTATCGTCATGCACCCGCCATCTCGACCCGTCCTTACATCGTTACCGTCTGTCATGCTCGATTTTCGCCCTTCTGCCTGTCTGGTTTATTCTTGGAACACGATCGACTTACTCTGACATGGGTAGGTGTCCTTAGTTATGGATTTAGCGATGGTTCAACGAGGCCAAACCATAGTTGCGGAATGACACGGTTCATATTCAGGTCGTTTCCCCTGTACAGATGAAGCTCGACTCGGATCTTGTGCACTAGAATATATATCAGCAGTCGAGGGTGGCGGGGGTTATGATGAATGTCGTTGTCATTTTTTGCAGCCTAACTGTACTTTACCCCGCCAGTCTTGTGTACTTCATTTATTCCCGCGGTTCGTATTTGGGGCAGTGTGGATAGAAGTGTAAGTGATTGGATCTCGCTAGTTGGGTGCCATCCTCATTTAACAATTTTTCTACGAAAACCAGGTGTGGGAATGTTCAAATAATACCTTTCAATCCCTCGATTCAGTGCCCTCCTGGAATGAATGCTTCTTTCACTGTTTATCGTGCAAGGCACGCGAGACTCGTGCTCAATCATCACTGCTTTAAGAATCGACGATCTTGTCGTGAACGGCGTGCTCAAATAAAAATCCTCCAACAGCACTTCCAGTACGTTTAATAACCGCTAAAAGCATCTTGGTGAGCACTGGTCAACCAACTAGCTACACCGACTTACGTTGCCAAGAAGCTACGCCTTCTTGAATAGTAGGTTGCCGAAGATCTCCAGCGGATGTCTGTTGTGGCTCGTTTGCCCTATGATTTATTGCACGAGCTGTGGTGAAGCAGAAATAGTAGCTTGTTTTAGGGACAAGTCGAGTGATCGTGTTTACCTCGGCTGGGCAATGCTTTCTCATGGACATTTAGTTGCCACAAGGCGCTGTTGGCTGGCGTCGACCGGGCCTCCGCCGCATTTAGAACAGCTCGAACTGTGAGTGGTCAGTTCAAGCAGTGAGCAACGAGCAATAACTTTTTGCCTCTATTTGCAGCGATCTTGTCGTGGACGGTTGGCACCGAATACGTTCCTGACACTGCTATTGCAGCGTTCACATATAGCTGCAAGAGATATTCGGAGATCATCACCTTCTATATCAGGGGCAAGTTCATTATACAGGTTATCGGTATTCATCTGAGCCATAAAACTGTACTGACCTGTGTCTTTAACAATAACACGGGCAGCACACGGAATAAGAAGTATCCATACAGTGCAGATCAGAGAGAGAATGCTGGGGTACATCATGATGACGGTTGCGAGAGGTATGGCCTACGATCTTGATGGAAACTTCTTCTACAACCAAGCTGATCTTATAGCAGAACCCATGACTCGTGGACATGGAGCCTTTGCAACTTTGAGAAATTGGGCTCGGTTGCCATTGAAAACTTCTTCCAAGGGTCTTCGTAAATCTGCTCCGAGCTCCATATTAGCTGCGCTTCGACGATGAAGCGGTGCCAGCGCGTAGGTAGTGCGCTCGATATATTGGAAGCTCGGCTGCTTCGGCAGGTGTTCTGAGATAGTCATTCATGCTATCGCAGGACCATCACATTGTAAGGTTCCGTACTATAGGTCATCGAGCCAATCACTGGCTAATAAATTATCTTATTGTGCACTAGACAAATTCTCTGTTATTCATCCCACTTTCAAAGGCAGTCCTGTGTGAGTCTACTCCGTTCCACATCTAGACCCCGTGTGTTATTAAAACTGGTCATAGCCCATCGTATTGATCGGGGCGAGGCAGATGCCGGGTATCCGTGGAGTCGAGCAGTGGCTTCAGTGCCATTGATGCAGCTCGAAGCCGGTTGGTCATGATCATCAAGCAAAGCCCGTTGATCGCAAGGAATGCAACCAAGGCGATACCGATGCACCATGGCGAGGTGGACCGTTTTGTGCTTGGGGTGCACGCTCCATCCGCTTCGAGCGAGATTTCACTTTGTTCCTCTTCCTCCTCTTCGGTTCTTTGCGTGAGCGGGGTATATTCTTTGTTGCTCATCTGATTGGATATTGCAAACTCGCTGCTGTGACAATCGCGTGTATCGTCTGTCAGTCATCAGATGTGTTGTATTTCTCGGGCTTACCTAGCGCTGGCCAAGTGACAGGTTTGGGACTGAATAGATGGACAGGGTATTTATGCGGCTGAGAAGTTGGTCCGTGTCTTATTTTATTCCAAAACCTTGAGTTAAAAAAAGTTATTGTGCTCACGGCTTACAAAAAAGTGCGCCGACATACTGCCATTGCGCCATTGATCCATCTGATGGGCCGTGCCTTCCCGGGAGTCGCCATGATTGATTGCCGCCAGTCTAACTGAACATGTGCCACACAGCATCTCCGAGTTACAGCACCCGCGCCGCAGAGATTACTGCATTCATTTCACACGGAAATTTACGATTGGGCTCTGCTAGGATAACTGATGGCATACTTATCAGGACATATTGTAAGTTACTCCTAGGTGAGATTTAATCTTAACTTGGGATACTTTATCTGGTGAACGTTCATCCTGGGAGTTAGCGTTGTCTCGTGCGCCTAGTATCGTTATGGCACTGCTCTGCACTATCCAAGCCCACCGGATCAGTTCGATCTGGGAATTCACGATAACGCCTGTCCGTCAGATATAGCAATGAACGGCACAGCAGTTCGTTCTCGGCACCGCACGATGCGGCTATATGTGTAACAGTTCACAGAAGCCCGTTGGATATGAACTGTTCCTACCATCTAAAGTCATAATGTCTTACTTGCGACTCGGACGCCTTCCACATACTTCTCCAGTATCGAGGTGGTCTTTGCGGGACCCCTCTAATGTCGTCTCCGCTTGCATTTCCGTTCTTGTGCTGGTCACGATAGTCAACGTGATCTTTACATTACACACTGTTTCTGTTCTCAATGAGCTCCTCCCCCAGACCCCTCACGTTCACAGTACGTCAACTGCGCTTTTACCATTTCAGGCCTGACCATCTCGTTTATAGCGTATGTGGGTGACGACCACCCCTCCCAGCTACCACTAGAGCTGCCATCCGTCGGTCTCGAACTCGAGAGCGGCGAAGGTCACTTTTCATTATACGATGATAATGACTGGGGCACGCTTTTCCCCTCAGACGGGTTTGTCGCTCTAGGCCCCAATAACCGCACATTCCTAGTCTCCCTTTATCATCAATTCCACTGTCTAGATATCATCCGCGTCGGCTATGTGGTGAATCGCACGCATGCTGCAGAGCATATCCAGCACTGCTTGCGATATTTACGGCAGGCATTGCTGTGTCACGCTGATACCACACTAGAAGTGGATATTCCCCAAATATCTCCGGACGATGGGAAGTTGTATCACACTGCGAACGGGGTGGGTTCGGTTCACAGGTGTAGGGATTGGACGGTATTGCGGCAGTACATGCTAGAACACCCAAGCACGCCGTTCGAATAAGGGGAGTGGGGTCATGTGCGATGCTTTTTGTAATGCCAAATTGATAATTCTATTAGCTAGATACGTCAAAGATACGTCGTAATTAATTTCTGGTGTGGGTATGTCCAAATACACGACCACACCACTACAACAAGGTTCAAGATACCTTCGGTATATGTGTCAAGGTGTTATACAGGCGAAGCGCTTTCGTAATGGCAAGCAGGGCCCATCTCGACCTCTGCAATCTCAATCTCCTCGTGACCTTTCATACGGGTGAGATCGAAGTCTTTCATTCGAATATCTATATCGTTTTCGACCATGCTGTGTTCAGCAGTGAATTGGGTATCCGAAGTGCCTGTGTCGCCCCCACGGCGCGCGATCCATTCAATACGAGTGGACGTTATTGCCTTGGTGGTATGCTCTGATGAAATTCCTAAGCTAACTCGAATAATAATCAGGGTAGGTGCGATGCCCTAAAATGGATGCGTAAGTAAGCAATGAGCGGAGATTATAAAAGGACAAATCCGGTACTCACGTATACTTGGGTGGCAATCACCGCCACAATACCTTGTGCGGGGTGTTGGATCGAGAAGAGTACGACGAACACGAATTGTGTTATAAGATAGAGGGCACCACTTTCGATGATGAGCATCATCGCACGATAGGAGGCGCCTTGGCCGATGACTATAGGCGATTCTTTCACGATACGAGAGGAGGTCCAGATGCGGTAAACTATAAGGGAGGTGACGACGAAATTGGTGGCAAGGGGTAGGATATATCCTGCGAGCCCCAACCCCACCGTAGCGGGGGGAGGGGCAGGTGAGGTGGGGTCCATCGTGATGACAAGGTGGAGTACCTCCATTATACAAGCTATTCGAATTTGTTACTGACTTGTTGATTACTCGAAGCAGGACGTACCGAAGCCACCGAAGGCAGTAAGAAGGGGAAGTATGACTACATAGTAGTTCCTATCCCAAAGCATCCAGCAGCGGTAGACGAGAACTAGGTCACCGATGAGATCCGTGAACGAGATAAGGAAATCTGCGCCTGTAAGACCAGGAGTCTCCGCGGAAAACCCATCGACTCCTGTTGATTCCTATCGAGAAAATTGGTATGAGGATATATGTATTTTCTAACGATTTGATAGGGAAACCCACAAGAGTTGTATAAAAATGATTGAATTCGAGTGCAAAATGTGCAGTGCAGCAGAAAAAGAGCAAACAGTTGGCAAAAACAACAGGGCTACTAAGGTTTGGCGAAGGTCGTTTCTGACTCAAGACGATCCACGAAACGATGAAAAGAATGCAGTAACTGCCTGTACGTGAGCGCTCGCCAGTGAGTATTCACTGAAAAACGGTGCAACTTGTGGAGTCCTTACCATACAAGACTGCCTCACAACCAAAGCCAATCAAAGCTGCTATATCAGTTGGAGAGGCTGACATCGCATAGAACAGCCTTGATAGTGGTGAACAGGTATCGCGTTGGTATGATGGTGCTGGCGGTGGTCGACGAAGGGAGCGCGCAGCAGCCTGAAGGCACGGAAAGAAAGATTTGTTTTCATTCTGATGATCAAACCGAGAACCTCGTGAGATACGGCCAGCGGCCGGGTAAACGCACACATGTAGTTTATTAATACTAAACACCTAATATGGTTAAGAAGTAGTTGCAGCATGCGTCTACTCCGCGGCTTCGTCCTAGGTGTCCTACATACAACCGGGCGAGCAAAACGAAAAATCACATACTAGTTGTAGAAAAAAAATTGATGACCTCTCGGTCATTGAACCACAACTTGAAAGTCATTGTGGATCGCGGGAGACTCGCACCGAGTTCATGTCGGTCGCATGCGGCCAGTCTCAGGCGGCGCTAATCCCCTTCTCACATTAAGTTGTCATCAGCGTCTGATGGCCATTGCTCAGCCTTTTTTGGTCAATGGCCTTAATCCTCCTTCGTCCTCTCATGCCTCTTCTGAGAGTCTGCGGGTCGAGCATCTTCGCTTTCATTATATGGAGGCTCATTAAACGTCTTCGTGCTCTAAACTCTCCTCTCACTCACATCCTCGGACCAAAGAAAGAGCATTGGCTGAAAGGTAGATACGCTTCTACGGCGATACCACGCACTAATCTTAAAATGTGTCAGGCAATTATCACCGTATATTCAAAGATGGTCTGCAGTATAACCTTGATTTGGTTCAGAAATACGGCGGGGCAGTCAAGATTTACGCCCTTCTTGGGGTGAGCACCCTCATTTCGGATGTCTTATGTCCGCTTTACCCGAAATCATCTAGCAAGAGCAACTGTACATATCAGATCCACTTGCTTTGCATCACATCATTGTGAAAGAGCAAAATGTCTACGAGGAGACCGATATGTTCATCATGTGAGTTTGACAAGTGCTTACGCCGTGTAAGCTGATAACACCGCCTGATAGGAGCAATCGACTCATCTTTGGCGAAGGCCTTATAGCTACTCTTGGTGAGCATACAGAAGACGTACTTCACGAAGCGTGTGTATATCATCCTATTTCAAAGGCGAACAGCACAGGAAGCAGCGTAAGATGCTAAATCCAGTATTCTCTCTCGCAAATATGCGTGGCTTGCTCCCTGTAATCCAGCCTATCGCTGATCAACTACGCACAATCTTGAATGCAAAAATTCCAGCTGATGGCTGTAAGTCGCGTAGATTTTGTTCGAATACCGTTTGTTCACCTATTTATTTGCAGCGGTTGTGGAGGTCAACTTACTTCCGTGGTTGTCGAGAGGGGCATTGGAATACATATGTCAAGCAGCGCTCGGACACTCATTCAATGCACTTGATGCGACAAAAGGAAACGAATACTTGGAAGCCATCAGGAGACTTGCGTGTGTGATTTGTTTGTTCCCGCCAATACTTCTGAAACTAATCCTGACAGACCGTCCACACTTCGTCTAATCTTCCTCCGTCCGTTTATTCCAATGATCGTGCGACGACTTTCCTTGTATTGGAGGAACAAGATGATGGATTGGGTGCCGGGTGACGCATTGAAAGATCTTCGTCATGTGGTAAACGTGATGGACACTACCAGCAAGAAGATTTTCACCGAGAAGAGAGCAACCTTAGAGAATGAAGGCTTCGTCGGAATCGCGGGGAATCGCATGCAAGGTAAAGATATAATGAGTATCATGCGTCAGTTACCTTCTTTTCACACACGTAAACGTTCTACTAATGAAATGGCTACTGCCAGTGCAAGCCAATGCGTCTTCTTCCAGTGACGATCGATTGACAGACTCGGAATTGCTGGGCCAAATGAAGTGGGCGTTGTTTACATACCCTGCCAGCGTGAATCCTAGACTCAGTATCCTTTTAGCACGATCATCTTCGCGGGCTTCGAGACCACTGCCACTGCCATATGCCGCATTTTTTGGATCCTGGCCCAAAAGCAGGACGTTCAGGCACGACTACGAAGTGCAATCCGCAAGGCTAAACGAGACTATGCGGATGCGCAGGGCCTGTCTAGCCCTTGGGAAGACGTAGAATTACCCTATGACACGCTTATGGGGCTGCCTTATTTAGATGCCATAGTCCGTGAAACACTTCGAGTGTATCCACCGACTTCTCTTCTCAGTCGAACGTAAGTTTATCTTGCAACACCACCTGAAACACTCACCGAACATTGTTGTTTCGGCTGCATTTTAGTGCTCGTCAGGCTTCCGTTCTTCCATTGCACCGTCCAATCAGGTCTGCATCCGGCGAAATGATTTCTTCGATCCATGTTCCAGAAAATACGACGCTTATAATTTCTATCTTGGCTTCGAATCACAACAAGGAGATCTGGGGCGAGGATGCCTCGGAATGGCGTCCAGAACGATGGTTGTCACCTTCTGGCGAGCGCCTTCCCCTTGGAGATGGTGAAGGTAACTCCACGAACGGTGCAAGTCTTGGGGTCAAGAATGGCATCAAATATCCTGGCGTGTATGGTTTGATGTAGGTGACAGAAAACCTGTAGTGTTACAGAACAGCTGAAAGCCGTGGTCAACGCAGGATGACGTTCCTCGGAGGCGGCCGTGCTTGCATGTGCGTAATGTATCATTTTGTAACGCGTGCATAGCCATTGATATTGTTGATGTAGCGGCTTCAAATTTGCGGAGATGGAAATCAGTGCGCTTTCTTGTCCTTTCCGCATGCAGAGATGAACTAAGTTATTACAGAACAAGTCCTCGCAACCCTCATCCCACAAATACATTTCGCGCTGCCTGCATCGACAGATAGAAATGGACACGTCAAGGAGATCTACTGGAAGATGAACGGGCTACAAGTTCCGGTAGTACGACCACCAGCCGGGGACAACGTGACAGCTCAAGTTCCATTGGACCTAAGAAAAGTACGCGAGCAAGACTTCGTAGTGAATTAGCCAAACTAGCTCGAGCAGGTGAAGACGTACACATTTGCACATTTGAGTGCATCTGCATGCTACACAATGCAATCTAATGTACATCTTGAGAAGCACGAGACTTCTGAAACCTTGGTATGTAGTAAGTAAAACTAGGGTTAGCTACCGCTGTTCCTCGTTTGTAACAGGGTTGGTGAGGCGTCCCGATTCCGTTTGTGAGCTCGCGGAGACCGTGAACGTGAGCTTCGTCTTCGTCGGGCGCGATGCTGCTCATCATCGATGTCATCAAGCTCGACATCCTTCGTGCGGCTTCTGGACTCTGGTGCCCTTCTATCTTCATCCATCTTAACTTTATCACTTTCGCCCGTCTTAGCCTCCACACCTTCGCCTTCTCCCTCGCTTCTCTTTTCGTGTTTCCTCTTCCACATGATCTTGCGCACGCACTTCGAACACAGAACGACTTTCACGAGAGCTTCTTTCCTTTGACCGTGCTCTTCATATGTAAATGGTAGCTCAAGAGTCGTAAGTGAAGTAGAAGACGCGGCGTGTTCGACACAGCGAGCGTTCGCGCATGTCGTCTCGCCCGTTCCAGAGAGAACTTCTGTTTCTGTGCGCCAGCGGAGACTGAACTAGACGATCGATGATCAGCCCACCAAACGCACGCAGTAGAGAGGCGAGAGGCATACGTTTCCTGACCTGTAATGCTTGAGATCGCAAATGGCGAATTCGCGGTAGAGACTTTCGTAGTATTTCTGCGCTAGTTGGTCGTTCCATGATGTACTGGCTTCATCGTCTGCGCCATCTCGTAGGAACCTTCGAGAAGATGTGAAATAGGTGACTTGGAAATTTGGGCGCTTCTTACTTGTGCGAGGCTTTCAAGATGTCGAACTCTGTGACTGTTGGGGCAGCAGCGGTCGTCTTGCGATTAGAGACATATGGCTTGTATAATGCTGACATATGAGATGGGAATGGGTTCGCGGTAGCTTAGTAAGTGGAATTGTTTAATTTGGGTAGTCAAAATAAGCTTTCGGCGCTGCAACTCAACTTGAAGTTAACTTCAATGACTCGGAAGGGCAGGGCATCGGTAAGAAACGTTTCGTTATTGTGATTAAGCCATGATAATACATTGCTAGGTGACATACAGGTGGCCAGGTCATATGACTAGTCATCGCATTCTTCATGCACACTTGAATCGCATAACAACTCTCGCCGAAATCAAGAAGTGGCTATATTCTTTGTAGGACTGCCCTCGTGGCTACACTTCGGCTCGAGTCATAATACAAAGACTGTCTCGTCACGAGGCTGACACTCTCACTCGATTATACCCAAACACTGGCACGTTGCCGAAATCACAAACAGTTCTCGGATCTTTTTGTGTCGTTCGAACATTTCGCGCTCCGAGTCACTGCATTATCAGATCATCGGCGGGCGTGTATGACTCGGAAGGGCAGGCCTATCGGTAAGAAACATTTCGTTGTACCTAAGCCATGATGAATACACTACCAGATCACACGCAGGTGGCTGGGTAACACGACTAGTCATCGCATTCTTCATACACGGAATCGCACTTGAATCACACAACGACTCTTGCAGAAATCGGGAACCTTTGTAAAGGAACTTGAACCCCTCCTCTTTTGTACAACCACCCCCTTCTCCTCCTCTTTGTACCACCTCCCACTTTCTCTGTACGACTGCCCTCGTCGCTACAAACGTCGATCGTGTTTCATGACAGGGAATTGAATACGACGCATGTATGTACTTTTGGTCGCAGTTGTACTAATCAACGTGCACAGGAATTAGAAGAAAGGTTGTGTATTTTTGCTCGTGTCGTAATTACAAAGAATGACTGTCACGAGATCGACTTGGGCGCTGTTACCTGTCATCAACCACTGCCACTTTGATCTCATTGATTAGTATTCCTGGATGCACATTCCCTTTCTAGCTGAAACACTTACTTCGATCAATCAGATATCATTCCTCAAATGTCACTTTGGTGATGTAAGTGCTGAATGGTGGTATATCAAGCACGAATGCGATCGTCATACGTCCACCAAGTTCCCCCGTTCGTTTATTCTCATCCTCTAACAATATGGTCCTAGTCTCGAACGATCCTAGTTGGTGGCCAGTCATTAATGCGAACCTTATTGGCAGCTATTTTTCAGGTTTGCTCAGAGCTAGCCGCATGATAACTGTGATGACTCGATTAATCATGGCTGCGGTTTCGCAGTTGCCGCCTCTGCTGCGGTAATATACGATTGGGGTGAGAAATGTTGAGTATAAAAAAACCACTAACATTATGAAACTTCTAGGACTTACGTTCGGACAAGAGGTAGGTCGACACCATTACAGGAGCAGCCATCTCACTGACAACATCTTTATAGGTGGAACTAATCTGGGTGAGCGGACTCCCACATCAAAAGCACGATACGAAAATACCACAACTAATTTACGGCAGAGGCAACGGTGGTCCATGATGACCTTTCTGTATCTTGTTGTACGTAGCTTTTTTTAAGCGTGGTTAGCAAGCTGACTGACGCGAACTTATCCTAGACACGATACCTTGGAATAGGATTTATTATGTACGTTTCGGCGTCCAAGCCATTCATGTTGCGCTCATTACCTATCTCTCACAATCAGGGTCAACATGTCAAGTATGTCTCCCCACGTGGACTCTATTTCTTTCTTGTGACGGGGGGCATACAGGCAGCGTTCCAAAAATTTGGACGACAGATGCAGTGAGTATTCCACACCGGTGCCTTCCATTTCCGTCCAACAACTAAACTACCATATAGGGGTGAGTGGGATCCTCGAATAATTCGTTGGTTCAATGTAACGACCACCACAGTTGTGAGTTTCTTACGAGCCTGTGATCATCCAAGGTTGATAACTAATATTACTGGATTCGTCAGGCCTTATCCTATACGACACACTTAATTGGATGGGTGAGGTTGTAGAAATATCACTGGGTGGTGAGTTATACACCTCCGTGATATTGACTTTACTGAAATATCATCCAAGTCATCATGATCGTTCGGTTGCATGCCATGTATCAGCGATCTAGAAAGATGCTGATATTCCTCGTTGTCACCTTTCTGGTCACCAAGGTCGCCAATGTAGTGATAGTCGCAATAACGACGACGCAGCTTACAGGGGGTAGGCTTTAATTATATATATAAAATGCGTAAGAGGCTTACTGTCATGTACCAGAGGAATACATTCTCTCCAGCACCTATCTGTGCAACATTGACTCTGGGAGCGACTTTCTGATTCTCACGACTTGGATACTTGACGTTGTATGGGAGGTTCTTGTAATGTGTCTCGCAGTCTGGATTGCTGTGAAGCACTTCCGTGAACTGCGAAGACGCTCAGCAGGAGGTATTATAGGGGACTGTTTCACGGTGTTAATGCAAACTCACGTTAGTTACTTTGCAAGGTGAGCTCATAATGTGAATGTAGTTCTCTTGTTCCGCTGAAGTTATGCACGTGCTAGTTGTTTGGCTATTTCTTGCTTGGAGATCGCTTTAGTCTCTCCAACGCTCGGGGTATGCTGATCTGTCACTGACTTCTACGTGCGTTAATGATTCATCAATTCTATAGAACATATATTCCCTGGGCGCTCAGATTTATCTTGGTTTCGCTCAAATCTTCCAGATGGTGCAGATGTCCGTGTTGGGACCACGCCTCATCCTTGGCGTTCGAGAATATCACGCCAAGCTCGTGGCCGACTCCGATACAGCAAGCGCTATGACTTCAATCGCTTTCCAGGAACGTGTCCATGTTGAAACTAGCAGTAGCGTGTAGTACGGGAGATGTTCGATGTGATTTACAATCAGTGGATAGTCTGTAGTGAGCGGTCTTGTTTCTGTTTATTCCAAGTTTTGTCGTCATACTACTTGCTTAAGTTATTGGAAATATATCTGAAAGAGACATACTAGTAGCTCTGAACAAGCTCTGAACAATACATCCTCGATTTCGAATCGAACTTAGCCTAGTTTTCCTGAATTATTAGTCTGTTGATGAGCTTGCGCGATGACAAAGTTCCCATTGACTCTGTTGTCTGAAGTGACATTCTCACTCGTATTGCTTACTGTTTAATCAGCTTCGCAATATGTGCTTTCGTACCCTCCCTCGGTGAATCCGTGAGTTGACCTTCATGAGTTGACCTACTAAGTACTAGCTCTGCGCTCTGGCGTAGTCGTCCAGCGTAACTTCAAGGCTACTTGAGTCGTATCAATTTCTCTAATGAATACCTACACTCTATTTGATATGCATCAAGCTGATTATAATCGGCCTTAAATATCCTTCCTAAATCATATCCATATGCATATACATGACAGTACATACGACATAAGCGAGCAGTTAAACCAGCACCAAGACTCTCTTCAGAAACTAACCTCTGTCCATCTTTTCAAAATCACCGATGACCACCCTGCCAAGATCAATCATTTTCAGTCTCTGGAGCGATTCCCATGTTACTCGCGTCAACGATGCGGTGGTAACGGCCACCTGCGCGTGCATCGAGCGGACGACGTTCGGCCAATGCCATATGTATGTACCATCGAAGTGTCTTCTCGAGACAGTACGGCTCGTCTATGTCAAAATATATGGGGCGCGTGTGCTCTGGGCAGCTTGCGCTGCGAACAGGCGTCAAAGGATAACCATTAATCATTTCGCTGAGGACGGTCGGGTCCTGTTCATGCGAAATCTCGTCGTATTGGGAGTATGGCCAGTAGGACTGTGGATGGGCTGGCACAGGAGTCGAAACGGCGACCTGGGATGGAACCTCCCGAAGATTTACGTGTGAGCTGTGTGCGGAGCGCGAGAGTGTTGGATTTAAGGCGCGAGTGGTGGGAAGAGGGGGAGCGGGAGCGGGGGGAGGATGTATATTCGAGCGATCAGTGCTCGACTTAGCACGAATCCGTTCTGCCAGTCCGACACTGCGAGTATGGTTGTCGGGGGTCCATCGTACATCCGCCGAAGGCTGATCAACAGTGGCCTCATGCCCCTGTTTGCCGTGGGGAATGGAAGGGTAGGCTTCTTGATCACTTGTACCCGAATTATAGATGGGAATTTGGGGCTTTATAGCCTTCGAGTTTAAAGAAAGTGCTCTGAAACCACGGCGAGGGAGGCCCTCAGTTGGTTCGGGGGAATGGGGAAACTTGGCCAGCAAGTCAGAGTCCGCGCGTGTGTCAACGTTTGCGCGAGCTGGTCCATGGTAGTAGGTATGTTGTGATTTGCCATGATAGATGTCGAGTATCCCTGGAGCTTGCTTGACGTACACGATGTCGGACTTTTTAAGGGGAGTCTTGCCACGGTATACGGGTTTGGAAGAATCGTCACGAAGAGGCTCGCGCCTTCTCCCTTCTGAAGAGAATCCGTATGGCATTGATTTGGAATGCTTAAGCGAGCCCTTCTGGTCGTCGTTAGACCTGAAGGGGGGGAGAGGTATATTGATTAGTATGATGACGATGAGTAGAACGCGGAGACTCACTTTTGGAACATTTTCTTGAACGAATTCATGATTGATATGGATAAACGAGGAATGTACGGCCGCAAAGAATATGAGGAGGTAGTGTCTGTTAGTGTAGAGAATCTGCATATCAGTATATAAAGGTTCGGCTGCTGTGGATGCACCATGGCCACAACTACAAAGCAATTTCTCGATATCCGAAAACGATTCAAATGTGGAGGCTCTGGCAAATGTTCTGATTACCCACCTATAGTCAAATCAATACTATTATCGCCCCATCTGCATTACAAAGGTAGAATGTGTGACAACGAACCAATTATGGGACACAGTTGCCACAAGTCCAATGAATTCACCACACATCCTGCTCATTGATATCTCGAGCTCAAAGCTGGTGCTCAATGAACATGTGCCGAAATTTCCGGTAATGACATACAGCACGCTGCCTCGGATGCACGAGATACAAGAATGAGGCAAGACGCGTGCAGCGTCTCGCTGAAAAAAACAGCTAACTTTTCCTTTTAATTGTCTCACTTAACAAGACCATTCAACATACCTTTAAAGCGCAGTGCATCCAACCAGCTATATTTTAATCCAATTTGCTCAACATCAAATAAAGATGCATGAAGTGCGTTCAAGGCTGACATTTCGAGAAATCTGAAGGCAATTTAAACAGTCAGACAAGCATTGATATTAAGTCTAACAGAGTTACACACATGATCACTATGGCCTCTGATATTCCTCGAAGATGGACTCAGGGCCGATAATAGCCCTGAATGAGGCTTACATTGTGGAAGTGCTGAGATACTCTAGCTCCCATTTGAATGAGCGGATCATTTACTCCGAGGCATGAAGGTCCAGTTACCTGTTTCATGGTCAAATCTGCGACTCAGCTTCACTTACTCTGACCGTGCAATCCGTGCCCATGTATAGCATCATGCACGAAAAGCCCTCACAGGAGCTATGGTCGCCAATGGTAGCTTTACCTATATTTCACTATGAGAGCGGAGCGGGCCGGCGCTTTGCCAGCCTGCCTTGCCTTCCGATGCCGACAGAGCTAGAAATTTCATGTATCGTCAGTTTCATAACCATGGTCAACCAGCGGATCGGAAAAGACCTGAAGAATGCACAGTTCGTCCGAGTCACGCTATGGAATCACGGATGGGAATTAGAAGATATCCGTGAAGCTCTTGATGTCTCGCGGAGAAGCTATTTCGCTGGTGACGAATAGTCTCTTGGACTTGTTTTATTATAGATATACTGAGTGTAAAGACGCGAAACATATAGCATCGTATGATTAAAAAGTGTTGGTATGCTCTAGGAATTAGACGGCTATAACTTACATAATTGCAACTGACAAAGCAGAATGCACCCGATCCCTACCAATTCATAACAGTCATTAGGATGGATCGATGAGTATTCATCTACTCGAGTTGGAGGCCTACAGGAGACGAGGGGCACATGGGCAACTGATGCAGGTATCAAACATAAATAGTATGTAGTGTAAAATCACTGTGAAAATGAAGGGCTGCTGAGCGTAGCCCAGGCCCGAGTAGCTGTGAATTTGGCTAGCAAATTATCAATATCTGATACTGATTCCTCGGTATTGGTCACAGTAAGCTCGTCTACCTCTGTTGATGAGTCTGGTTCTGGATGAAGCACATTCAAACAGGCTACAAGGAAACGCCACATAAGTGGCTTTGTGGGCAAGCACGCGGGAAGCGTTCTAAAACGGTGAAAACAGTACTTTGTCATGCCAGCGTCTAAGGTCGCCCATTCATCGAAGGGGCGCAATCTCCGTGGTAGAAGGACTCCATTCTCGTAACGCAAGGAAATCCAGACGAAACACCACATAAACGACTCTAGATCATGGCGATATAGGTGTTTCACTTTGCCTTGTTGACCCTCTCTAATGATAAAATCGAGCGCCATGAACGGCACCAGCACGGTGCGTTTGTTGCCCCGAGGTCCTGGGTCATCCGCCAACGAGGATAGATCGTAGTCGTTTAAAACGCCTATCTGTTTCCCGTCTTTCCAGTACCACATCAGGTTTCCAGGGCTGATATTTTGATGACAGACCCCTTCCTTCCACAGAGTAAGGTGGCCTGCATGCTATGTCAACAACGAGCCATGTAAATTCAATGAAACACGTACACAAGATACACTGATGCCAGACGTCGAAAAGCTCTTTGCCCTGAAGCTCCATGATTGGCTTGAGCTTCCGAAATAGAAGAATGTAGAGCACGCGAATGCCCGTGTTGGAGTCTGGAACACCCAGCACTTCCCGGATGACAGATGCGGGATTCGTAAACGTGTGGTGCCAAAGGAGCTCAGGAACATGGTCTTGGACAGTTGCGTGCCTCTTAGTGATCTCTTCAACCCTTTTCAGGATCTCCGACTCGCTAGTGCGATTTACCTCTCCCAAAAATATCTTGGCCACCATCCCATCCCGGAGGTTACCGTATTTATTCGTGAGTGCCTCGCTAGTAACAGCAACCAAGTTGGTGGCCCGTCCTTGGGGTCCGTAGTGCGTCACTCTCTCGTCGTGGCTGGTGTGAAGCAACAGATCCACCGTTCCGAGTTCTTTATCCTGGATATTGAATTCCTTGCATCGTTTCCCCTGAACTGGAACTGGAATGAGGTCCTTGTTTTGGCCCCAATCGTGAACCTTGAAGCGTTGTAAAGCATACAACAGCACCATAAATTGCGGGAGATCTTGAATACCTGAGCATTGAACGATCCCTTGCCGGTCATAATACCAGATCCATATCACATCGTCTGAAAAAGCTGTGGTAAGAGCGCGACCAATCTCAAGAGACGAACGAACCCACCGACGACGATAATGTTCAGGAAATAATTGACTCCAAGATTGGGCGCAAAAATTTCGGCAGCGTACAGACCTGTTTGGATGGTAACATCTAGATCTGCGTCCGTGTCGTCGGGGTTCATCTTGGATTTTTTCGCGGCGGATTCCAAAGTGTCCGTGATCTTGCGCTTGGAGCTGGACCCGCCCGGGGAAGGCTGAGCGGCAGTAAGGCCCGAAGACCGAACTGCTGCTGGACTGATTTAGTTTGATCTTGAGATCGAGAATGAAATAACTTACGTGCAGCGTCGGACACAAGTTGTGTTGCTGGGGTCTGCAAAGGGCCTGGCGTAGGGACTTCAGCCTTAAGATGATCCACTGGCAAATATTCTGAGTTGGTAGGGACATGGTCTGTCACTGTATACGTAGAGAGCGGTGGCTTAATCCCTTTCGTCATCCCTGGCGTCTTTCTCTTGAACTCGATGCAAGCTAGAACATCTTTCCAGAGGTGATTGTTCGGTTTTGCCGTTGCACTCGTGTCCATATGAGCCTTGAGCTTCGTATTGCGCTGCTCGTCGTCCTTCTCGTCGTTCTTTTGTGTGCCCGTCTGTTTATCCTTCTTGCCGCGCTTCTCATCCTGGAAGAGAGCACATGCGTTATTCAAAGAAAGAATCGTGAGGTCGGGCTTCCGAGTTGATTTCTTAGTCTGGTGGGTTTGGTGCATGGGCATATGGTTCTGCTGGCAGATCATGTCCACGGTGGAATAGGGGTCCCACGGACATGGCATAGGAGAGGAGAGCCCAGCGGCTCATTCCCAGGCTTGGTCAGCAGAGTAGCATGGGCTGTTGGTCAGCAGGGTACCATAGGTTGTTCTTGTCAGTATCGCGCGCGCACGCTCTCCGGGTAGAGCATCTCTCTGACTCTTCGTTCGAGTCCAGCCACCCTGTCCAACGGCAGGGATAGGATCACGCATCTGATCTCTTGATCTCTTCAAGACAAGACGTACACTTGCGATGGTTGTAAACATGAAAAACGTCTGATCAGCGAACTCATACCAGACACTCACTATTCGTTGGGAGCTGTCGCGACGTCAGAAGACTTTGATAACTCAGTTAAAGCCTGTCCGTTGCAAACCGGCAGAACTGCCTTGAGGCACCTTGGCAGGAGGTCGGGCTACTTAGTCTCGGGAGCGGAAGAAGCGCGTTGTAGGAACGCTTGCAGCATGGCATCTGCATTGCACTCTTTAGCCTGCTCTATTTCGCATTGAATCCATAGGCGGACTTGCTTAACCTTTGATGGGATGTCAGGTTCTACTCAATATAAACAGGAAATGTGCGCACTTGACGCCAAGCACCCCGAAGTTCTCGCTGACGACGGAAGCCCCACGGTCGTTTGGGATGGATTCTATTTTACTAGAATCATGACCTAGTGCATTAGCGCATAGCAGAGTAGACGATGTGCCTGTCTCGCCAGCAGGGGAAATGACACTAGGTGTTCAAATGATGACTACGCTGACTGAGTGTTGTGAGCAGAGCTAGTGATAGGGAGAAAACTAAGAGGACAAGAAAGACGACTGCTTCCTGATATCCAGTCGACCAATGTGGCACGAATGTGGTCGAACATCGATCGATTCCGATGTGTCAGATCTTCAGATACCCTAGACTGATGCCTGGTGGTTGTGGATTTACAAGTCAGAATTTCGACTTCGGCGAATCAGCGACGCGTTCCCATCAACACGGGCACGTGACCCTAACTTATTTGACCTGAAATTGATTCCGGAAGCCTCGTCTGGCTCAGTCAGAGTTGGGCTCGGCACCTGTACAATTCACTTTAGCCGTACCAATATTGGAGATCTGTCTATACTCTAGTACTATATCAATTCGTCAGAACACGTACTATATTTGACGGTCGGGGGACGACAGAACTACGAAGAATGATCTATGTAACATCCGAGTAACTGACATAGGTAGCGAAACACGGAAAACAATATGTAGTGTAACGACTACTATGAAGGTAAAGTTTTACTGAGGTCAACCCACGCCTCGGTACCTGTGAATTTGCCTAGTAAATCATCCATATCCGATACAGTTTCCTCGCCATTGATCTGCTTGGATGCTCCTTTCCTTTTCAGCTCAACAACGAGGTTATGGTACTTGTCAGCAGCGCGATTGGAGTTAGCTGCCTGGAGGACCAGAAAACAGTCCACAAGGAGAGCCAATAAAGACAAATCTATGTCCGATTGAGAAGTTCGGAGGTCCGCGGGTAGATAATTGCTCAAATTCGTCAGAAAGGCTAACTTCTTCTCGCCACATACAATGGCGTGTGAAGTCGCCCACTCGTCGAGAGGGCGCAAATTCTCTTGTAGAGGAACTCCCTGCCTGTAACGCAAGAAAATCCAGGCGAAAACCCACATAAACGACTCCAGATCGTGGCGATATAGGTGTTTCACTTTGCCTTGTTGACCCTCTTCGGTGAGAAGATCGAGGGCCATGAACGGTACCGTGCCCGTACGCTCGTTTCCCTGAGGACCCACCGCATTCGCCAACGAGGATAGATCGTAGTCGTTTAAGACACCGATCAGTCTGCGGTCTTTCCTGTACCACATCAAGTTTCCAGGGCTGACATCTCGATGATAGACCCCTTCCTTCCACAAAATGATGTGGCCTGTAGGCTATGTCAACGAAGAGCCTCATGAGCTGAATCACACACGTACACAAGATACACTGACGCCAGACGTCAAAAAGATCCCTGCCGTGGAGCGTCGTGATGGGGTAGAGCTTGCGGAATACAAGAATGTAGAGCACGCGACCTCCCGTGGTGGGTTCAGGAACACCGAGCGCTTCTCGAATGGCGGACGTGGGATTCGTGAACTTGTGGTGCCAGAGCAGCTGGGGAATATGTCCTTCGACAGTCGGGTGCCTCTTAGCGATCTCCTCAACCTTTTTCAGGATCTCCGGCTCGCTGGTGCGACTCGCCTCTCCCCAAAATATCTTGGCCACCATTCCATCCTCGAAGTTACCATATTTCTTAGTAAGCGCTTCGCTAGTGACAGGAACCACGTTGGTCGCCCGTCCTTGTAGTCCGTAGTGCGTCACTCTTTCGGGGTCGCTGGTGTGAAGCAACAGATCCACCGTTCCAAGATCTTCGTCCTTGATTTTGCATTCGTGGCATTGCTTCCCGTCAACTTGAACTGGGAGAAAGTCCTTGTTTCGGCCCCAATCGTGAACTTTGAAGCGTTGTAACGCATATAGTAGCACCATGAATCGTGGGAGATCTTGGATAAAGTTGATGCCCGAGCTTTGAAAGGTGCCCTGGCGATCATAATACCAAGTCCAGATCACATCGTCTAAAAAGCGGTGGTAAAAACGTAATCAGTCTGAACAGACAAACGAACCCACCGATAACGATAAAATTGATCAGATGTTCGACGGCAAGATTGGCCGCAAACATTTCTGCGGTGTACAGACCGGTCTGGATGGTCACATCTGGCTCGTCCGCGTCAGGATTGGCCTTGGATTTTTTCGCGGTAGATTCCAAAGTGTCCGCGGCCTTGCGCTTGGAGCTGGACCCGCCCTTGGAAGTCTGTGCAGCGGTGAGGCCGGAAGATTGATCTGCTGCTCGGTTCATTCAGTTTGATCTTGGATATAACAATCAAATCACTCACGCGCGGTATCGGACGCAGGTTGTGTTGCTAGGGTCTGCAAAGGGCCTGGCGTAGGCACTTCAGCCTTGAAATGACCCACCGGCAGATGTTCTGGTTTAGTAGGGACGTGGTCTGTCACTATATACGAAGAGGGCGGCGACTTGATATCTTTCGTCTTTCTCTTGAACTCGATGCAAGCCAAAACATCTTTCCAGGGAAGATTTTTTGGCTTTGCCTTTGCGTTCTTGACCATGTAATCCTTGCGCTTCTGACCGTCCTTCCGTTTGTCTTTCTGTTTGCCCTTCTTGCCGCCCTTCTCATCTTCAAATAAAGCGCATGCGCCGTTCAAAGGAAGAATAACGACATCGGGCTTCCGAATTGATTTCGCCTTCTGGTGGGTTTGATACATGGGCATGTCGTTCTGCTGGAAGATCATGTCCACGGTGGAGACAGGAGCGCGCATCCCGTCAATCTTGATCTCTTCGAGACAAACGAGCGCAATGTTCGTCGCATCAATAAAAGGGCTGTAGAAGTCAGGTTCTACTCCTGGACATGCGCTTGCAATCGTTGTAAGCGTAGAAAGGTGTAATAATCGAAAGAGCGCTTACTATTTTTTCAAGACTGTCTCGATGCCCGAAGACGATATGCCTCCAGCGGAGACCTGTCCATTGCAAACCGGAAGAACTCCCTTCAGGCACTTGCGCAGGAGCTCGGGCTGTTTCGTCTCCGGCGCGCAAGACGCGCGCTGTAGGAGGACTTGCAGCATGGCATCTGCCTTGCACTGCTTGGCCTGCTCAATGTCCCGCTGAATCCACGGCCGGACCTCCTTAACCCTTCATCGAACGTCAGGTGCTACCCCATAAGAACAAGAAAGGTACGTACTTGACACCGACCAAGTTGATGTTCTCGCTGATGACGGAAGCCCCACGGCTGTTTGGGGTGGACTCTAGTTTGCTGCCACCTTGACTTGATGCATTGGCGCGTGGCGGAGTAGCCGATGTGCCTGTCTCGCCAGCAGGGGACATGACGCTAGGTGTTCAATGATTACGCTGACTGAGTGTTGTGAGCAGAGCTGGTGAGGGAGAGAAAACTAAGAGGATAAGGAAGACGTCTGCTTCCTGCTTGCCTTATATGCGGTCAACGAATGTGGCGCAAATGTGGTGGACCATCGATCATTGATTTGATGTGGATTGATGTGGTGGTTGTGGACCTACAGTTTAATTCGTGACTCCGACGACGCGTTCCCATCAACACACGCACGTGACCTTGACTTATTTTTTGAATCACCAAGTTCTTGAAATCGATTTCAGTCAAGTCGACGTCCGGTTGTACCATTAATATTAGAGATCTGCGTAATGTAATACTCAAGTACTCTGTCAATTCGCCAGAAATCAGATGAGCTGCCGCGCGCCAGGGAGTTCATGTTTTTGCATGCTGAAAGGAACTCCACTATCTACGTGCACAAACATCTTGTTCTCGGTAGTAATCAGCAGAAGTTCTTCTGAGAATTTTGATTTTGGGATTGTAGAGCGGAGTCCGATGCTCGCACCATGTTCTAAACAGAAAGAAGACTGTCAAATTCATGACTCAGTCGCAGTTCTGTGATATTCTTTTGTTCTCCTATCATCAGAGAACCTGTGAGAAGAAGATATCGTCATATATCGTTATATATCGTAATATATAGGAAAGGTTTTCGTCACATTGGAATATAAAGTGATATAAAGCAATATATGACTATGTAAAAGCACCATAATCAGCATAATCCCCAGCAAGAACTCACCGGTTTACTGATGATAGGAACAAAACATCGTTAGTACCCCCGTTTAGATCCCTGTGCTACATGCATGACATTACTGTTAATGGACGTTGCTGTGTATCTTTGGTGATGTCGGACAATCAATATGTTTGATCCCTCGCAGGAAACCCTTCTTGCCAGTGTCCCATGGTCTCGCCCATATATTCCTAGTTGATCTCGTGGCCTTGAGAAAGAGCGATCCATCTAGCGCTTCCACGCCTTCCAGTCCCGCACCCTTGAGGGAGCCCTTGCGCTGTGTGCCATCAAGTGAGAGAAATCAACGTGCGTAGGTAAACAATGTTGAGGAGTGGGTTGACGATCTTATCCGAGTGGCGCTGAGGAAATCTTGAATGTTTAGTCCAGGGAAGCCAGTATGTGAGATCATTTACGTATATTTGATTTTGTTTTGCCAAAAATATCATCTCCAGCCCGATTCTGTGATGCATATCCGCAGATACCCGTACCCCAAACCCGCGCGGGTTACCCATACCGTGCTTTTCCCTAGCAGTCATCACATGTCCGTTACGATGCGTGACCCATCAGCCGATGGTCAAATGAGCAGAAATCAGTTTCATGATCTGACCGTCTAGGATGACCTGAGGCTGGTCTGAGGACTCTGTCAAGAGGTATGCTTGAAAGGATTTGTTGACAGGCGAGTTATCTGTTTGCTCCGTGTGTTCCTCTCTAATGTTTCGCTTTTCTGGCACCATACCCACTGACAGAAACCAACCCCGTTGAGAGACTCATTGAGACTGATACCTGGGCCAGCAAAATTATCGAGACGCTCGTTCGATACACGTAGGCCTGGCCGCCTGATGTCTAGATCATTGGACTACGTGGATTCACTGATAGAACCTTCATTTGCAACTAACAATAAGAACTTCGTCTCAAAATTAGCATCAGGAAGTATCAACACTTGAAACAATCAATTTTTAGTCACTAGTCCTTAAATATTCGTCACTGCCGACATCATCGAATCATGATGGTGCTCATTTCGACCACATAAATGGGCTGGATGTATCCGGCACAAAACCACCAAGTCTGCCGTTCCCTTAGATCCATCCTCGAACAGTAGTATGATCTGAATCTCAAATGATCAACGTAACTCTCATCTATAGTTATTTTGCAGGTTTGTGGAGAGCCAACTGTATGATGATGGTAATGTGTCGATCTAACCTTGCCTGTGGTTTCGTAGTTGCTTCTTCTGCTGGGGTGATATATGATTGGGGTGAGTAACATTATGCTATAGAATCACTAATGTTCTGACGGTGTTGCCAGCGCTGACGTTTGGACAAGAGGTGGGTTGATACTATTACCGGCGCAGTCACGTTGCTGAGAATAGTATGATAGATCGAACTCGTCTGGGTGAGCAGAATCCCAATTCGAAAAACTAATTCACATATATGATTATTCACAGAGGCAACGATGGTCGCTGATGACCCTTCTGTATCTTAGTGTATGTAACTTGCATTATAATGTGGTCGACAAGTTGTGCTAACCCAATTGTGTCCTAGGTGCGCTATTTTGGAATTGTATTTGTTGTGTATGTCTGGAAAGCTAAACGACTGTATTGTGCTAATCAATCCGTCTCTCACACTCAGCATCAACATAATGTGTATGGCTCATCGCTTGCATGATGTTTGTTTCTTCTGACCGGTGGCATACAGACAATGCTCCGACAATTTCGATGACGGATACAGTGAGTATTCTGCTATATGCCTGCCGTTCCCATCCACTAAACTGCGCTTTCATGTAGGGGTGAGTGAGATCCTTGATTAGTTTGTTAGTCCAATATAACAACCACCACAGCTGTGAGTTTGTATCGAGCGCGTAATCCTCTGAGGCTGATCACTGACTGCATTCGTCAGGTCTGATCGTGTCCATCATACAAAATTGGATAAATGTCGTCGCAACTGTAATAATAGGCGGTGAGCTATGCAGCTCCAATGTCTTAATCGTGTCAACTGGACTGAAACATCATGCAAGTCATCATGGTTGTTCGGTTACGTGCTGTATATCGGGGATCCAGAAAGGTCATGATATTTCTCATTATTACCTTCCTGGCTGTCATCATCATCTACTGCGCTTTCGCCGTAATAGCAACGAGCCATTTGTCAGGGGGTGAGCGCATTCATGTATCAAATACCGCTGCACGGGGCTCATTGACGATTGCAAGAGGAGCTCATTCTTTCTTGCACCTATCGGTGTTATGTCGTCTTCGAGGAGGGACATAGTACACTTATGTATACCGTGACTTGGATACTTATTACCGCATGGGAGGTCGTCGCAGTGTGTCTTACAGCCTGGGTTGCTGTAAAACACTTCCGTGAACTGCGACGGCGTTCGGGAAGAGATGTTGTCGAGGACAGTTTAGCGGTATTATTGGAATCCCACGTGGCTTACTTTGCAAGGTGAGCTGATACTGCGAATGTGTTCTCTTTTTTCTTCGATTGAAATTTCACGCGTACTAGTTTTGTTGCTGCTTCTTGCCTTGAGCTAGGTTATTTGTCTCCTGCGTTCTCAACGCCGGTATGCCGAACTTTCTCTGACCTCTATCGTTGTTCATCGTTTCTATAGCACCCAAATTCCCTAGGACCTCCGATTTATGCTGGCGTTGCCAGTATTTTTTCGCTCATGCAATTATTTGTGCTGGGACCACGCCTAATCCTTTGCATTCGAGAACATTACGCTCGAGTCGAGGCTGAGTCCTATGCAGCAACAGGCATGAGTTCAATTGTTTTCCAGGAGCGCGTGCATGTGCAAACTAGCAATAGTGTGTAGCACGAGATGCGCCGAATTTGATCAAAAGATATGGAGAACCGGGGGAAGGAGAATTCGTATTTATTTTCTCGTCATGGTACTTATTTCAATTGAGATATCTCCAACCACTTAGTAAATCCTTCCAACAGCAAATCGTAGACGGCTCTTGCGTCCAGAAATATTTATTTGTGCTACATTCCAATGTACAAGCTGGTTACGCTCTTTTCTGTACACATGGTCTCATAATGCAAAGGATTCAAATCTACACACTTACCTTTATTCGCATGTTTGATGAGGCGACGCACAACATTGAAGAATCTGGCCTATCATTTTGGAAATAGCTAAGAACGCCGGAGACTGGCAGATCATTGATTTAACACAGGTTTGAACGGCGCCTTGGCCAGGTAAGTCGACCTCGTGGCAGACATTCTTTATAACTACCACACGAGCACAACCTTTCTTCTAATTTATGTACACGCTGATTAGTACGAATGCAACCAAAAGTACATACACATGTGTCATACTGTCATAAGACACTGTCAACGTGCAGTCGTACAAAGAAAGTGGGGAGGCTGTACAAAGGGTTGTACAAAAGAGGAGGGGGTACAAAGAAAGAACGGTGATTTAGACAGAAACGGAACGAAAGCGTTGACCAAGAGGCAGTGATGGTTATCGCTTGAATGCGAGATTAATGAATGTGTGATGATCCAGTTTGGTGGTTCATAAGGAACGACGGAATGGGATGGATGCACTGGTGAATAGATGATCAAGCTCGTCGAGGAGCTTGAGGAGCTTGAGGAGTCATGAGCGAATAGCCGGAGAGGGTGAATCAGATAGAACCTTCCATTGCTTGAACAAACGCACGTACTATATTTGACGGTTTGGGGACGACAGAACCTACAAAGAATGATCTATGTAACATCCGTCCATTCCATGAGTAACTGACACAGGTAGCGAAACACGAAAAACAATAATATATAGTGTAACGACTGCTATAAAGATAAAGTGTTGGCGAGCTCAACCCACGCCTCGGTACCTGTGAATTTGCCTAGTAAATCATCCATATCCGATACTGTTTCCTGGGCATCTATCTGCTCGTATGTTCCTTCCGTCCATCCCAGCTGAACAATGAAGTTATGGTGCAATGTCATCAACGCGTTTGGCGTTAGCTGCCTGGAGCACCCGAAAACACTCCACAAGGAGAACCCATAAAGACAGATCTATGGCTGACTGAGAAGTTTTGAGGTTCGTGGGTAGATAATTGCTAAAATTCATCAGAAAGTCTGATTTCTCCACGCGACATGCAATAGCGTCTGAAGTCGCCCACTCATCGAGAGGGCGCGATCTCCGCAGTAGGACTCCCTGCTTATAACGAAAGCAAATCCAAGCAAAAACCCACATAAACGATTCTAAATCGTGGCGATATAGATGTTTCACTTTGCCTTGTTGACCCTCTTTGGTGAGAAGGTCGAGCGCCATGAACGGTACCGTGCCCGTACGCTCGTTTCCCTGAGGACCCACTGCATTCGCCAAAGAGGATAAATCGTAGTCGTTTAAGACACCGATCAGTCTGCCGTTTTTCCTGTGCCACAACAAGCTTCCAGGGCTGATATCTCGATGATGAACACCTTCCTTCCACAAAGTGAGGTGGCCTGTAGGCTATGTCAACGAAGAGCCACATAAACTGAATCAAACACGTACATAAGATACACTGACGCCAGACGTCGAAAAGATCCTTGCCGTGAAGCTTTGTGATGGGGTAGAGCTTGCGGAATACAAGAATGTAGAGCATGCGACTGCCCATGCTGGGTTCCGGAACATCAAGGGCTTCTTGGATGGCGCACGCGGAATTCGTGAACGCATGATGCCAGAGCAGCTCAGGAATATGCCCTTCGACAGTCGGGTGCACCTTAGCGATCTCCTCAACCTTGTCCAGGATTTTTGGCTCGCTAGTGCAACCAGCCTCTCCCCAAAAAACCTTGGGCTATCATCCCATTCGAGACCTGTCCATTGCAAAACCGAAGAACTCCTTCAGGCACTTTTGCAGGAGCTCAGGCTGTTTCGTCTCCGGCGCGCAAGACGCGCGCTGTAGGAGGACTTGCAGCAAAAATAAACACTTTACACTTTGTCGTTGTTATCGTCGCCGTTGTCCGTGCTTCGTGATGCGGAAGAAGAACACCGGAGTCGCGATTCCCGAAATTGAATGACAGCCGATGTGATCTGGCAATTGCTAACCCAAATAGAGTTGTCAGAAAACAGAGTCGTGCTGCTGGGGAAGCGCAAGAAGGGCGAGGTAAGTAAGTCCAATGGCACAATGGTACGAGACTGATGATGACTTGCAGAGAACATCGGCGACAGCAAAGTCACCGTTTACCAGCGCATGGGGGCCGCGATATTCCCACAGTTACATAGCTTGAATGCTGTTGCAGTTGGAGAACGTGTCAAACGGAAATATGAGCAGTAAGTCTGCCACATATTTCGTTTCCTCAAACTCATACAGTTCTTACAGCCTGACAAAGAAATACAAAGAGCTGGCTCGCCGGCTTCGGACAACAGGTGAAGGCATCCAAGCTGATACAGATGGGTGACCCGCCATTTCCGTAGCGTCCCATCCGATAGAGTGTGAAATAAGATACGAAGGACAATAAGGATGAGGTATGAGCGCAGGTATTGCTCGTGCAATGTGTGACGAGCCATCTGTGATATGTTTATTGCACAAGCCTTCAATGACTACCTTAGCATTGTATTATATAATACAGATATGTACAAAGCGGGATGGCGTTGCTATGCGGGGGGTCGTAGGCGTGGGCGGTGGGCCTGGGCGACATGTGCGCCCCCGAACTTTGAGCGTCCCTAATGTTAATATCAGAGATCTGCAAAATGTAATACTCCAGTACTCTGTCAATTCGCCAGAAATAAGATCGGCTGCCGCGCCCCAGGGAGGTCATGTTTTTGTATGCTAAGGGAACTCCTTTATCTACGTGCACATACATCTTGTTCTCGGTAATAATCAATAGACTCGGAAGTTCTTCTAAGAATTTTGATTTTGGGATTGTAGAGCGGAGTCCGGCGCTCGCGCTATGTTCCACACAGAAAGAAGACCGTCAAATTTATGACTCAGTCGCAGTTCTCTAGTGTTCTTTTGTTCTCCTATAGGTACTACACACCATTGTTACCCCGTTTAGATCCCTGTGCTCATATGGACGTTGCTGTGTATCTTGGGTGATGTCGGACAATCAATATGTTTGATCCCTCGCAGGAAACCCTTCTTGTCCCATGGTCTGGCCCATATATGATCTCGTGGCCTTGAGAAAGAGCGATCCATCTAGCGCTTCCGCGCCTTCTAGTTCCACACCCTTGAGGTAGCCCTTGCGCTGTGTGCCATCAAGTGAGAGAAATCGACGCATGCTGAGCCTTCAACACATGATCGTTTTTAGGTAAACAATGTTGAGGAATGGGTTGACGACCTTATCCAAGTGGCGCTGAGGAAATCTTGGATGTTTAGTCCAGGGAAGCCAGTGTTTGAGATCTATCGTCCTGCCCTGGCCAGCGAGTTCTTACGAGCTCCAGAAGCAGCTATTTTTCCACGACGGCATTAAGAGCGAACAGGATTCCACCAGCTGCTACGATTATGATAGCACTACCAAGATCATGTGCATAAACCTCAGCGTCGGGGAGAGATCTCTATTCATAGTTCTTCGAGTGCTTCTGTATGGCATGTATCTATTTCGCAACACCAAACAACTTACATCAGTACCACAACAACGCCTGGAATAAATAAAAACAATTCTCCCACTCTCTGCAGACCACCCGCCCATCGTAAAACTATCATATCGAGAATGTACTGCGCTAAACGCTGTTGCTAGTTTCCACGTGGTCATGTTCCTGGAAAGCAATTGAAGTCATAGCAGTTGCTGCATCGGAGTCGGCTACGAGTTTTGCATGATATTCCCGAACGCCAAGGATGAAGGCGTGGTCCCAACACAGATAACTGTGCCATCTCAAAGATGAGAGCGAAACCATAATAAATCTGAACGGCCAGGGACAATTCGTTCTATAGAATTGACGAATCATGGGTACGTGTAGAGGTGGGTGACAGATTGGCATACCACTGAGAGCGTTGGAGATAATGAACCGATACGGAAACAGGCAATAGCAAAAAAGCTAGCACATGCAGGATGTGAGCAGAGAAAAACGGCGGCATTCAAATTATGAGCTCACCTCGCGAAGTAACTAACATGAGTTTGCATCAACACCGTGAAACAGTCTTCAGTAATACCTCTTGTTGAGCGTTGTCGCAGTTCACGGAAGTGCTTTACAGCAATCCAGACTGCAAGACACAGTGTAAGGACCTCCCATAAAGTGCCGAGTATCCAAGTCATGGCACTCAGAAATATGTCATCTCCCGAAAAGCTAATCATGCACTGATAGGTGCCCAAGAGAACAAATTCCTCTGATATCTGTCAGTGAGCCTGATGCACCTGGATATTTCATACACGATTAAAGCTTACCCGCTGATATATGTATCATCTGCGTTACGAGCATCACTGCATTGGCGATTCTGGTGGCCAGAAAGGTGACAACGAGAAATATCAGCACCTTTCTAGATCGCTGATACATGGCATGCAACCGAGTAATCACGATGACTTGCATAGTGTTTCAGTCAAGTCAATATCACGGAGTGCATTGCTCACCGCCCAGCATTGATTCTAAAACCTCGCCCGTCCAATCCATTGCCTGGTAGATGATACGGCCTAGCGAATTCAGAAAAATTAGTCATCAACTTCGGAGGATCACACGCTGGAAGGAAATTTACAACTGTGAAAGTCGTCATATTGAAATAACGAGTTGTTCGAAGAATCTCACTCACCCCTCCATGGTAGTTCAGTTGTTTGAACGGGAATGAAAGGCATCACTGAAATACTCACTATATCTGTCGTCGAAATTGTTGGAGTGCTCACTATATGCCGCCCGTGACGAGAAATAGATAGAACCCATGCGAGGAGACATACTCAACGTGTTAATCCTGATTGTGAGAGATGAGTAACGAGCACAACGCCAATGACTTAGACATCGAAACGTACACAACAAATCCTATTGCAACATATCGTACCTAGAATATGTTCACGTCAGTATAACTTGCTAACCTCGCTTAAAAACACAGGCTACATACAAAGAGATACAAAAGGGTCATTACGGACCACCGTTGTTTCTACCGCAAATTAATTGTGATACTTTTACAACGTTCTTTTAATGTAAGAGTCCGCTCACCCAGATCAGTTCCACCTATCAAACTGTTCTCAGCTAGATGGCTGCTCCTTGCAATGGTGCTGACCTACCTCTTGTCCGAACGTAAGTCCTAGAAATCCCATGATGTGAGTGGTCTTTGCATACATACTTGATATTATTGCTCACCCCAATCGTAGATTATCGCAGCACAGGTGGCAACTGTGAAACCGCAGCCAAAGTTAATGAAGTCATCAACATTAGCATGCGGCTGACTCTCCACGAACCTACAAAATAGCTGGAAATAATAGCCGCATTGATGACTGGCCACCAACCAGGATCGTTCGAGACTAGGGTCATACTATTAGAAAATGGGAAGTGAACAAGCGGGAGGAATTTGGTGGATATATGTCGATTGCATTCATGCTTGATATACCAGCATCCGGCGCTTACATTTCCGAAGTGTGATTGAAAGATCATACATGATCGATCGGAGTGTTCCACTGGCATGGTTTCAGTATGAATTCGAGTAGAAAGGGAATGTGCATCCAGGGATCGATGGTATCAAGGTAACAGTTGTTGGTTGACGGGGAATGTATGAACATCAGAGATCTGTTCGTGATTTCGGCAATGTGCCAGTATCATTTCCGAAGTCGAGTCTTTGGATATGGTCGAATGTGGGGTTCAGCCTCGGCCCATCAATGACGCCATTCAGATTATTGATCTAACACAGCTGTTGTTCAATCAAAGTGATTTAGACAGGAATGGTGACAGTAGGAACGAAAGCGATGACGAAGAGGCGGTGACGGTACACGCTTGAATGCGAAGTTGATGGATGTGTGATGATTCAGTTTGGTGATTCATAAGTAATGACGGAATGGGATGGATGCACTGGTGAGTAGAAGAATAAACCCGTCGACGAGCTTAGGGAGCAAATAGTTGAAGAGGGAGAATCGGATAGAAATCTGCCATTGTTTGAAGGAGGAATTTCCTCCTAGTCCATCCGTAACAAAAACTCCCACCGTGCTAGATACGTAGAGACCAATATTGATGACATGAAGAAACCAAAAAATGGGGAGTGTAAACTCTGCGTTTCATGGCATGAGCGAGAGTGACCGTGGTCGCTTAAAAGCTAAGAGGAGAACCGTTAGCGTGCATGTAAATTCGAATGACCTGGACAATTCACGCGGCGATATTACATAATAGAAGAGTATGCGCTGCAACTATATTTGACGGTTTCGAGACGATAGGACTGAAAATGACAGAGGATCTATGTAACATCTGTCATTACTGACACAGGTAGCGAAACCCAGAAAGAAATAGGTAGTGTAACGACCACTATAAAGGTAAAGTGTTGCTGAGCTTAACCCACGCCTTGGTACCTGTGAATTTGCCTAGGAAATCATCCATATCCGACACTGTTTCCTCGGCATCTATCTGCTCGTATGTTCCTTCCATCCATCCCAGCTCAACAACGAGGTTATGGTACATGTCATCAGCGCGATTGGAGTTAGCTGCCTGGAGGACCCGAAAACAGTCCACAAGGAGAGCCAATAAAGACAAATCTATGGTCGATTGAGAAGTTCGGAAATCCGCGGGTAGATAATGGCTCAAATTCGTCAGAAAGGCTAACTTCTTCACGCCACATGCAATGGCGTGTGAAGTCGCCCACTCGTCGAGAGGGCGCGATCTCCGCAGTAGAAGGACTCCCTGCCTATAACGAAAGCAAATCCAAGCGAAAACCCACATAAACGATTCTAGATCGTGGCGATATAGATATTTCGCTTTGCCTTGTTGACCCTCTTTGGTGAGAAGGTCGAGCGCCATGAACGGTACCGTGCCCGTACGCTCGTTTCCCTGAGGACCCACTGCATTCGCCAACGAGGATAGATCGTAGTCGTTTAAGACACCGATCAGTCTGCCGTTTTTCCTGTACCACAACAAGCTTCCAGGGCTGATATCTCGATGATGAACACCTTCCTTCCACAAAGTGAGGTGGCCTGTAGGCTATGTCAACGAAGAGCCACATAAGCTGAATCAAATACGTACATAAGATACACTGACGCCAGACGTCGAAAAGATCCTTGCCGTTAAGCTTCGTGATGGGGTAGAGCCTGCGGAATACAAGAATGTAGAGCATGCGACTGCTCATGCTGGATTCCGGAACACCGAGGGCTTCTCGGATGGCGCACGCGGAATTTGTGAACGCATGACACCAGAACAGCTCAGGAATATGCCCTTCGACAGTCGGGTGCACCTTAGTGATCTCCTCAACCTTGTCCAGGATTTTTGGCTCGCTAGTGCGGCCAGCCTCTCCCCAAAAAATCTTGGCTACCGTCCCATTCGAGACCTGTCCATTGCAAACCGGAAGAACTCCCTTCAGGCACTTTTGCAGGAGCTCGGGCTGTTTCGTCTTCGGTGCGCACGGCGCGCAAGACGCGCGCTGTAGGAGGGCTTGCAGCATTGCATCTGCCTTGCACTGCTTGGCCTGCTCGATGTCCCGCTGAATCCACGGCCGGACCTCCTTAACCCTTCATGAAACGTCAGGTGCTACTCCATAAGAACAAGGAAGATACGTACTGGACACCGACCAAGCTGATGTTCTCGCTGATGACGGAAGCCCCACGGCTGTAGGGGGTAAACTCTATTTTACTACCACCTTGATTTGATGCATTAGCGCGTGGCGGAGTAGACGATGTGCCTGTCTCGCCAGCAGGGGACATGACGCTAGGTGTTCAATGATTGCACCGACTGAGTGTCGTGAGCAGAGCTACTAGTGAGGGAGAGAAAACTAAGAAGACAAGAAAGCCGACTGCTTCCTGCCTCCGGTTGACGAATGTGGCGCAAATGTGGTGGGCCATTGATCATTGATTTGATGTGGATTGATGTGGCAGTTGTGGACCTACAGTTTAATTAATTCGTGACTCCGACGATGCGTTCCCATCAATACGCGCACGTGACCTCGACTTATTTTTCGTACGTCGATTTCACTGAAGTCCGTACCATCAATAAATCTTCATCAGAAGAGACGAAAAGGGAAGGCATGTGTCCTTTGCAGAATTTAGGCTGCTTTGATGGGCAACACTCGAGGTTTGGACAGAGGTGTCTTTGACGGGAAGACCATAGATAGAGCGGGACTTTAGTTTTTGTTTTTGAATAGGACCCCTTAATATTGTTCGTTGACAGAGCGCCAGAGGCAGCGTTGATGGGGGTCTGGGAGGAAAACACGCGACTGGTGGTCCAAGTTAGTCAACATCGATCAAGAGGCGTTCAGGGGAACATCCCAAGCCATCTGAAGATAATGTAAACAATCAAGCAAGTATTGACATCGATTCTAACAGAATTACACACATGATCACTACGGTCTCTGATACTACTGCCTGGAGCATGGACCCTGGGCAGATCATAGCCCTGAATGAGGCTTACATTGTGGGTACGGATAAGAAGATCTGCATTGTTCAGACGGCACAATAATGTTCCTGTAATCCACCATAGTCCATCAATCAAAGAAGATACCGCCGTCAATCGATATCTGTCCGAGAATCATATCAGATTGCGTCCCTCGGTACGAATGAGAATATGCTCACTGTTTGACCTGCGAAGCAACGCATTACACTCATCAGTTCCGAGCCTATGAAACACGGGCCATGTAAAATATACACACCTGTGATGAAACGTGCTTCCGGGGTCACCAGAAATGAAACCAGGCTCGAAACATCCTGGGTAGTTCCTATGTCGCCTACCGATGACAACCGTTTGAACTAAAGTATGAAAAAAAATTGTCAAAATTCACATTTCATGCACATTGGTTGAGGGTCACCTCATCGTAATCAGCTGATTCAACCAACCCAGTAACTACACGAGGTAAAAGTTACCATCGTAATGATATTAACGCACAAATCTCGAAACTTACGCATCGGTGTTTGAATTGCTCCTGGAGCATATGCGTTCACTGTGATTCCGTTGCGACCAAGTTCGATAGCTTAGAAAGAAGGTTGCTGAGGTCGGGTGCTCGTGAGACTGAGTACACTGTACCTGCGCATTGTGTCAACCCTCGGACAGCAAACTTGGATGCGCAGTAAGCGCTGAATGAAGCATCCCCTTAAAAGATATGTCACCATACACGAAGGAATAACCGCATATGTAGACCTGCCTTTCTTTCCCGCAAGGGAGCTTGCACCGACAATTCGCCCACCCTCACCTTGAGCTATCATCTGCTGCGCTGCATATTTATAACTGTAGAAGGTGCCTTTGACGTTGACAGCAAGCACAGACTCAAAATCATCGGATGTCGCTGCGACAGGGTTTCAGTAAGTCCCGATAGTATGTCGACTGTAACTTACTTTCTATGAGCAATTTTGGTTTGCAAATGCCTGCGTTTGCAACAAACTATTTGATAGGAAAAGTTTGCCAATTCAACTTGCTCGGAACGGGTACCAGCGGTTGTAAACAACTCACAACATTCAGACTGCCAAACTCTTTAACCGCACTTTCAATCAGGCCTTTGACATCCTCCTCGATGGTGACATCCCCAAGTACAGTTAGCACTCTCTGCTCCGGGAAATTGGCAATGATTTCCTTCTTGACTTCCTCCAAGTTGTCTTTATTGCTTTCCAGGTCATTGATCACGATGTCATAGCCGTCTCCTGCAAGGCGTATTGCGATGCCGCGTCCAATTCCTTGCGCGGATCCAGTGACGACTGCGACACCTTTGGAGTTGGATTTCATGGACGTCATTTTTTGACCGGCGAAATGCTGCTATTCTTTTATGGGGTGCAGGACCTTTTGTACTCGGTGCCGGCGTCTCGATTTGTCAAAAATAGGGCATCATGACGATGCTGTGCCACTGTTGCGACTGCTGCGGAAAGAAGGTGCTGCGATATGCCGTGACGCCCAGCGCGACAAGGTACTGCGGCACTAACTTGGTTTCTGGAAAATATTAGGACTCAAGTTGTATAATCATTTTTGTAGCATAATGCAGACTTACGTTGTCATAATATATACTTCAGTGGTGGATTTTCCTATCAGGTCTGACTTATTTGACGCCTGGAAATCGATTTCACTTCAGCCGTACCAATATTGGAGATCTATCTATCTATGTACTCTAGTACTACATCAATTCGTCAAGACAAACGCATGTACTATGTTTGACGGTTTGGGAACGACAGAACTACAAAGAATGATCTATGTGACATCCGTCCATTCCATGAAAAACTGACACAGGTAGCGAAACACAGAAAACAATATGTGGTGTAACGACCACTATAAAGGTAAAGTGTTGCTGAGCTTAACCCACGCCTTGGTACCTGTGAATTTGCCTAGTAAATCATACATATCCGATACTGTTTCCTCGGCATCTATCTGCTCGTATGTTCCTTCTGTCCATCCCAGCTCAACTCCGAGGTTATGGTAGATGGCATCGACGCGATTGGAGTTAGCTGCCTGGAGCACCCGAAAACAGTCCACAAGGAGAGCCAATAAAGACAAATCTATGGCCGATTGAGAAGTTCGGAGGTCCGTGGGTAGATAATTGAGAAAAGCCGTCAGGAAGGCTGACTTCTTCTCGCCACATGCAATAGCGTCTAAAGTCGCCCACTCGTCGAGAGGGCGCAATCTCCGCGGTAGAAGGACTCCCTGCCTATAACGCAAGAAAATCCAGGCGAAAACCCACATAAACGATTCCAGATCGTAGCGATATAGGTGTTTCACTTTGCCTTGTTGACCCTCTTTGATGAGAAGATCGAGCGCCATGAACGGTACTGTGCCCGTACGCTCGTTTCACAACAGACGGAAGAGAATCAGTGAGTGCCAAGTCGTTTGCACTATGATTCGATCCAGTAAGTAGCTGAAACGATAGAAATGAAAAAGCTAACACATACAGCAGTCACGATGATACTTTTCGATGGCCTCGTCATCTTCAGCAGTAGATGATGTCACTGGGTGCATTTAGGTCGACCCCACTTTGAACAGCATCACCGTGACCGCCTGAGGACCTAATGCATTCGCCAAAGAGGATAGATCGTAGTCGTTTAAGACACTAATCAGTTTGCCGTTTTTCCTGTACCACATCATGTTTCCAGGGCCGACATTCCGATGATAGACCCCTTCCTTCCACAGGATAAAGTGGCCTGTACGCGTATGTTAACGAAGAGCCACACCAGTTTAATCAAACACGTACACAGTATACACTGACGCCAGACGCCAAAAAGCTCTTTTCCATAAAGTTTCGTGATGGGGTGTAGTGTATGGAACACGAGGATGTAGAGTACATGACTGCTCGTGGTTGGTGCTGGAGTGCATATTGAGGCGTTTTGGACTGTTGACATGGAATTTGTGAACTTGTGGCCGAACCAGTTGAGGAACATGGCCATTTGAATCCCTGGCCTCGTGCTCCTTGGCTATCTGAGAATCATTTTCCATGATTCTTCCCCCCAAAAAAAATTGCCATCCCGCGGCTCTTCCTTCATCATGATGGCTCAGGGTATTTATTGGCGAGCTGTTCACTAATGGACTAGTGAACACACGCCTTTTCAAAGTCCGTAGCGTGCCGGATCATTCTGCCATGACTTCCCCTTGCCACATACCCGAGCTACAGCGCCTAGAGTTTCTCATGAATCGAAGCCTTGGGCTCGATTGCTGAGGCCGGCAAGGTCAGATAACTCCACACTTGTAACGCACACAAATTCCGAAGAAGTACCCACATTAGTGACTCGACATCACAACGATACAAATTGACAATGGCATGCCTATCCGCTGGGGCCCGCACGTTTCCCTTAGCCGTCGTGGTTGACAATGTCAACAAATCATAGTCACTTTAGACACCTGTATCAGACGAAGATATACCTGTCGGTGGCATCGGATAGAATCTGAAGAAGAATTTGCGTGTAGACTGTGACTTATTAATCAGACTACTGAACCATAGAGAGACCGTACTTGCAATGTACGACTTCGGTAAATCAGGAAAATAGATTGATAGTAAGTTAGGAATGCAATGCATAACCCGTGCGCCCACCTCCCCTGGTTCTAATGCCAGCTCTAGTTCAATGTTGATAGTTATACGACGATCGAGATCTCTTCTGAGTGCTGACCAGCACTCCACCACCGACTTCCAGGGTTAAATCTATGGATGCAACCTGAACGACATTTGATGTCAAAAAGTCATTCAAAACTGATGCTTTCTTGCGGCTATATGCGACAGCACCTGCAGTTACCATAGATGGAGGAGACGAGACTCCGTTGACCAGAGAATGTCATCCTAGTAACACAGGGAGAACACGGTAAAAATGCAGACGAATGACTCGAGATTGTGACGATGGATGTGATTGACTTGGCCTCTTTGGCTCTCCGGAGTGATAGATCGAGCGCGCAAATGGCACTGCCCGTTGGAGCAGGGCGCTCTGGCGGGACAGGTCAGGAGTGGCAGGGGTCCTGGCTCGTAGTCGGTAGTCCTCGCGCGTGTCGTAGTCTGTCCTCGATAGAGAGAGCCGTAGCCTCCCGCCATAGAGGTCTGGCCTTGGTTCCCCTTGCAGCCCGTGCCTGTCCCACCGTGCGCTCATTGCGCTCGTCCGCTGCAGTCAACAGATCATAATCATTGAATATGCGCAACAAAATGCTATCAGGGCTGACATCTCGATGACAGACCCCTCCGTTCGAGATATCACTGTGGTCTGCAACGCAACTCAACAGGGAGTCACATGCTAGACACAATGAACCACGTACATAATATGAATTGATGCTACACGTTGTAAAGTGCAATGAGGATGTAGAACATGCGCTGCCCTTGGTTGTTTTCCGAACGCCAAGTGCTTTTCGGGTTGCCGTAGATAAGAGGATTCTGAACGTGCAAGGAATATGTTTGCGGTCTCTTGCTTCGCGGCGATGATCTCAGAAACCGGGTCTAAGATTCTGGCCTGAGAGCACGTCGATAGACGTCGATACGGTATTAGTGCAAACGACTCGGAATCGCGGACACGGCAAATCTTTTGACAACATGGGCAACATACCACGGTACGGACAGAAACCTCCTGGTCCAAAGGAATAGCTTGCTGAAATGTCAAAAATGTCTGAGGATGGGATGGAAAAAAATTCAAGGTATAAGGTATGGGTCTTCCCTGTGGTAGCCGGTCCAGGTAAAGCTTAAACGCGGCCAAGGTTCAAGATATATGACCGTTTTGGGACGAGGAGACTAAAAACGACACAAAGCATGGGGCCCAGAGTCTATCTATTCCATGGATAACTGACGCCGGTAGCGAAATACGGAAAGCAGTATGTAGTGTAACAACTAAAGAAAATCACTGTGAACGGCAAGCGTTGCTGAGCTTGACCCAGGCTATGTCGCCTGTGAATTTGCCTAGCAAATCATCCATATTTGATACTGATTCCTCATTGTTGGTCTCCTGGTATGATTCTTCTGTCTTGATAACCAATGCTCGCCGTTGTTGACGTCGCTTAGAGGCTTCGATGTCAAGCACCTGGAAACAAGCTAAAATAAAACACCAAACGACCGTCTTTATGTGAGAGGGTCTGAAATCTTCGAGATAATTGAGAAACGATTGCTTTTCCTTGCCACATGCAACAGCGTCTAAAGTTGCCCATAGATCGATGGGGTGCGATCCAGGGAGGAGCTCTCCGTTGTCGTAACGCAAGGAGATCCAGGTAAAAACCCACACAAACGACTCCAAATCATGGCGATATAAGTGTTTGACTTCGCCTCGTTGAGCCCTCGCAGTGAGAAGATCGAGCGCCATGAACGGCACCGTGCCCGTACGTTCATTGCCCCGTGGACCCGGGTCATCAGCCAATGAAGATAGATCGTAGTCGTTTAAGACACCGATCAGTCTGCCGTTTTTCTTGTACCACATCAAGTTTCCAGGGCTAACATCACGATGACAGACCCCTTCCTTCCACAGAGTGACGTGACCTGCACGCCATGTCAACGAAGAGCCTTATAAATGCGTCAAAAACACGTACATAAAATACATTGGTACCACACGTCGAAAAGCTCATGGGCGTGGAGCTCCTTGATTGGCTTGAGCTTGCGGAATACGAGAACGTAGAGAACACAACTGCCGTGGAAGTCTGTGCAGCAGTAAGGCCAGAAGATCTAACTGCTGCTAGGCTGATTTAGTTTGGTTTTGGAATCAAAAATGAAATCACTTACGTGCAGTGTCGGACGCAGGTTGTGTTGCTGGTGTCTGCGAAGGGTCTGGCGCAGAGGATTGAGCCTTAAGATGATCCACCGGCAGACATTCTGGTTTGGTAGGGACATAGCCTGTCGCTGTATACGCAGAGGGTGGTGCTTTAATCCCTTTTGTCTTTCTCTTGAACTCGATGCAAGCTAGGACATCTGCCCAGAGGAATGGCGTTGGCGGCTTTTCCTTTGCATCCTTGACCATATGAGCCTTGCGCTTTGTGTCGTGCTTCTCGTCGTGCTTCTCGTTGTACTTCGCGTTACCCTTCTCGTGGTCTTTCTGTTTGCTCTTCTGTTTGCTCTTCTGTTTGCTCTTCTTTCCGCCCTTCTCATCTTTAAATGGGGCGCATGCGCTGTTTAAAGGAAGAATCAAAGTCTCTGGCTTCCGAATTGATTTCAGCTTCTGGTGGGTTTGGTACATGGGCATATCGTTTTGTTGACAGATCATGTCCACGGTGGTAACAGGAACACACATTCCGTCGACCTTGTTCTCTTCAAGACAAGCAAGCGCGATGTTCGTGGCCTCAATAAAAGGGCTGTAGAAGTCGTTTTCTACTCCTGGACATACGCTTGCAATCGTTGTAAGCGTAGAAAGCTGTAATAATCGAAAGAGCGCTTACTATTTTTTCAAGGCTGTCTCGATGCCCGAAGACGATATGCCTCCAGCGGAGACCTGTCCATTGCAAACTGGAAGGACTTCCTTCAGGCACTTTTGCAGGAGCTCGGGCTGTTTCGTCTCCGGCGTGCAAGACGCGCGCTGTAGGAGGGCTTGCAGCATGGCATCTGCCTTGCACTGCTTGACCTGCTCGATGTCCCGCTGAATCCACGGCCGGACCTCCTTAACCCTTCGTGGAAGGTCAGTACTACTCCATAAGAGCAAGAAAGGTACGTACTGGACACCGACCAAGCTGATGTTCTCGCTAACGACGGAAGCCCCACGGCTGTTTGGGGTGGACTCTAATTTACTACCACCTTGACTTGATGCATTGGCGCGTGGTGGAGTAGCCGATGTGCCTGTCTCGCCAGCAGGGGACATGACGCTAGGTGTTCAATGATTGCGCTGACTGAGTGTTGTGAGCAGAGCTGGTGAGGGAGAGAAAAGTAAGAGGACAAGAAAAACGTCTGATTTCTGCTTGCCTTATATCCGGTCGACGAATGTGGCGCAAATGTGGCGGACCATCGATCATTAATCCGATGTAGATGTGGCGGTTGTGGACTTGCAGGTTAATTCGTGACTCCGACGACGCGTTCCCATCAACTCACGCACGTGACCCTGACTTATTTCTTTAAGTTCTTGAAATCGATTTCAGTTAAGTCCGGTCATTAATATTAGAGATCCATATGCATAATGTAATACTCCAGTACTGTCAATTCAGATGGGCTGCCGCGAGTCAGGGAGGTCATGTTTTTGCATGCTGAAAGGAACTCCACTATCTACGTGCACATACATCTTGCTCTCGGTAATGATCAACAGAAGTTCTTCTAAGAATTTTGATTTTGGGATGGTAGAGCGGAGTACGACGCTCGCGCTATGTTCCACACAGAAAGAAGACCGTCAAATTCATGACTCAGTCGCAGTTCTCTTGTATTCTTTTGTTCTCCTATAGGTACACACCATCGTTACCCCCGTTTAGATCCCTGTGCTACATGCATGACATTACCATTAATGGACGTTGCTGTGTATCTTGGGTGAGGTGCAGCTGGTGCCAACGAAATTTGGAGTGCGAAAGGAGTATGCGGAGACCGAAATGAAAAGGAGCCTCAAGATGTTGGAGCGCCAGTGGAGCTCAAGTGGCGCGCGCACACGGCAGTCACACCAATATTAATGGAAATCGCTCCGTTGTAGAAAATTGGAGGCCCGGGTCGCATGCGGTGCATAATGTAAGCCTGTGCAAAAGCCTTGGCATTATGGTCCGATTAACACTTACTAGTCTCATCCTCCAGATGATTGCGCAGTATGTGTGATCCGATCATCGGAAAGTGACAAAGCTGCATTGCTTCTCGGCGCTGAAGTCAAGCAGACGCATCTCTTCAAAAGTTAGCACTGACGGCCCGTCCATCGCCATGATGTTACACATATGCTAGACCATTCAACTTCCAAGTACACGGTGAGTACATAGCGTACCGCTTCTATCCTTGATACGCGACGCTAGACATGAGCAACTTTAGATACCTGTCGAAAAATGATGTGTGGCCGGAACCAAAGTAAAGGTCACAAATGGGGAAATAGTTAGGTGGGGACAAACGCTGGAGTAACGTTGTTGTATTGTGAATCTATAACTGAAAGTTACAAGTATCGATGCGCAGAACACCGTGTGCAGGGTATAAAAAATTACTCAGGCTTGCTGAGCTCAACCCAATCACCTAGACTGGTAAATTTGGATAGAAAAGCATCGAGATCCGAGTCACTGGGCTGCTGGTTTTGTCCTGAGCTCGATGTAAAGCGAAGATAGTATCTGTTGTCGGCCTCTCTTTTAAGCACCAACATACAGTTCACAAGGATATTCCATGTGAGTTTGTCTATGTCTGAGGGCGCAGAAGGGGTCAGGTTGTTGAGGAAGACTAACTTCTTCTCGCCACATGCAATAACGTCTAAAGTCGCCCACTCGTCGAGAGGGCGCAATCTCCGTAGTGGCACTCCCTGCCTATAACGCAAGCAAATCCAGGCGAAAACCCACATAAATGATTCTAGATCGTGGCGATATAGGTGTTTGACTTTGCCTTGTTGACCATCTTTGGTGAGAAGATCGAGTGCCATGAACGGCACCGTGCCCGTACGCTCGTTGCCCCTAGGACCTGGGTCATCCGCCAACGAGGATAGATCATAGTCGTTCAAAACGCCTATCCGCTTGCCGTCTTTCCAGTACCACATCAGGTTTCCAGGACTGACATCTCGATGGTATACCCCTTCCTTCCACAGAGTGAGGTGGCCTGCACGCCATGTTAATGAAAGCCACGCAAATTCAATGAAACACGTACATGAAATACACTGACGCCAGACGTCAAAAAGCTCTTTGCCGTGAAGCTGGGTGATGGGGAGGAGCTTGCGGAATACAAGAATGTAGAGCACGCGACTGCCCGTGGTGGGTTCCGGAATGTCAAGCGCTTCTCGTATTGCGGACGTGGGATTTGTGAACGTGTGGTGCCAAAGCAGCTCAGGAATGTGGCCTTGGACAGTTGCGTGCCTCTTAGCGATCTCCTCAACCTTTTTCAGAATCTCCGGCTCGCTAGTGCGACTCGCCTCTCCCCAAAAGATCTTGGCCACCATCCCATCCTCGAACTTGCCGTATTTCTTCGTGAGCGCTTCGCTGGTGACAGGGACCACATTGGTCGCCCGTCCCTTGCAGTCCGTAGTACGTCACTCTTTCGTCGTGGCTGGTGTGAAGCAGCAGATCCACCTCTCCAAGTTTTTCATCATTGATTCTGAATTCGTGGCATAGATTTCCCCTCAACTTCAATTGGGAGGAAGTCTTTGTTTCGGCCCCAATCGTGAAGGTCGAAGCGTTGTAAAGCATACAACAGCACCATAAATCGCGGAAGATCTTGAATGAAGTTGATGCCTGAACATTGAATGATCCCTTGTCGATCATAATACCAGATCCACGCGACATCATCTGAAAAAGCTTTAATAGGAGCGCAGCCAATCTCAACAGACGAACGAACTCACCGACGACAATAATATTCAGCAGATAGTTGGCTGCAAGATTCGCTGCGAATATTTCGGCGGCGTACAGACCCGTCTGAACGGTCACATCTAGATCCGCGTCCGCATCCGCGTCCACGGCAGCGTCCGCGTCAGCGTCTTTGTCGTCGTGGTTCCCCTTGGATTTTTTCGCAGCAGATTCCAAAGTGTCTGTGGCCTTGCGTTTGGAGCTGGACCCGCCCCGCGAAGGCTGGGCGGCAGTAAGGCCAGAAGACTGAGCTGCGACTTGGCCAATTTAGTTCGATCCTAGAATCGCAAATATCATCACTTACATGCAGTGTCGGATGCAGTTTGTGTTGCTGGGGTCTGAGGAGGGGCTGGAGCTGGGTCTGCAGTCCTAAGATGATCGACCGGCAGATATTCTGGCTTGGTAGGGGCATAGTCTGTCAATGTATACGAAGAGGGGGGCGCCTTAATCCCTTTCGTCTTTCTCTTGAACTCGATGCAAGCTAGAACATCTTTCCATGGGAGATTTTGCGGCTTTGCCGTTGCATTCATGTCCATATGAGCCTTGCGCCTCGTCTGGTGCTGCCCGTCATCATTCTCGTTGTGCTTTCCGTCGTCCTTCTCGTTGTTTTTCTCGTTGTCCTTTTCGTCGTTCTTCTGCCTGTCCTTCTGTTTACTCTTCTGTTTACCAGTCTGTTTACCTTCTTGCTGCCCTTCTCATCCTGGAAGGGAGCGCATGCGCTATTCAATGGAAGAATCACGACGTCGGGCTTCCGAATTGATTTCTTGGTCTGGTGCATCTGGTGCATGGGCATATCGTTCTGCTGGCAGATCATGTCCACGGCAGGGACAGGAGCACGCATCCCATCGACCTCGATCTCTTCGAGACAAGCGAGGGCAATGTTAGTGGCTCTTATGAAAGGGCTATAGAAGTGGTTCTCTACCCCTGGACATACGCTTGCGATGGTTATGAGTTTGAAAACGTCCAATCAGCGCACTTAGAAAAATCACTCACTATTCGTTGAGGGCTGTCTGGATGTCAGAAGACTTTACGAGGGCAGTAGAAGTCTGTCCATTGCAAACAGGCAGAACAGCCTTGAGACACTTTTGCAGAAGCTCGGGCTGTTTAGTCTTGGGAGCAGAAGAAGCGCGCTGAAGGAGGGCTTGCAGCATGGCATCTGCCTTGCACTCCTTGACCTGCTCTATATCCCGTTGAATCCATGGGCCGACCTTCCTAACCCTCGATGGAATGTCAGGCTCTACTCGATGAAGACAGGAAATGTACGCACTTGACACCAAGCACGCCGATGTTCTCGCTGATGACGGAGGCCCCGCGGCTGTTTGGGGTGGATTCTATTTTACCAGCACCTGGAGCTGATGCATTGGCGCGTGGAGGGGTAGACAAAGTGCCAGTCTCGCCGGCAGGGGACATGTCACTAGACGTTCAGTGTCAATGATTACGCTGATTGAGTGTTATGAGCAGAATTGGTGAGGAGGAAAAATTAAGAAGACAACATAAAAGACTGCCTGCCTTATATCTGGTCGACCAGTGTGGCGCAAATGTTGTGGACCATTGATGATTCTGATGCGTCAGATATGGATTGATGTGGCCTACAATTCGACTCCGACAACGCGTTCCCATCAACACGCGCACGTGATCCTAACTTATTTGAATAGAATTTGATTTTTGAAAGTCAAATCCGGACTCCGTACTGGTGAGTATAGTTCAACTACTCTACTAGCCTTATTCACTCTGTCAATTCGTCGGGAATAAGATCATAACAGTGCGCCAGCTAGTTCAACCTTTCCACGGTGAAATGCACTCCACTTTCTACTACATCAATCATCATACATTTCGTTCTCGGTGCCCAATTAATGATACTCGCTCCGAGTCCCTGAGAAGTTCTTCTAAGAATCTTGATTCTGAGATTCGTGTTCTCAGAGTAGAACAGAGTCCGACGCTCGCGCCATGGTCCACAAAAAGAAGACAGATGGACGACCCAGCCGCAGTTCTCTCCTAGTATTCTGTTGTCCTCCTACACACAATGGTTACCCCCTTTTAGATTCCTGTGTTGCATGTTGCTCTTGATAAACATTCCCGTGTTTCCCAGGTGATGTCGGATAATCAGTACATCTGATCCCTCATAGGAAAACCTTCTTGTCTCAGCGTCTCGTATCCTCGCTCATATACTCAGTTCAAAGTTGACGTTGATCTGGCGACCTTGAAGTAGAGTGATCCATCGGGTGCTTTTGCGCCCTCCAATTCTGTACCCTCGAAGTAGCCAAGTTGGTCTGTGTCTCTTAATGTGAGCAGAGATGCACGAAGGCGCGCTGACCATTCAATACACGACTAAACCATGTCGAGGGATGGCTTAGCGGCATTACAGCCGTCGAAACAGCATTGAATGTTCAGTCCATGGAAGCCAGGTCACGGTGATCCACCGCCCAAGAGTCGGTGCAAAGTATATGCGAAGCGAAACAACTTGCGAGGGTTGCAACAGGTATGGGCAGAGATTCGAGGTGATGAGACGCCAGCATTCAAAGATTAGCATTTCTTTTTGCAGATGCGACACTCAGCCTTCTGCCCACTTCCTTATCTCAAGCGCGCCATGAATAGCACCGTGCCCGTGCGCTCGTTGCACTCAACTTGAAGCTTAAGTGAAGGCTCGCCCCAGTTGGCAGATCGTAGTTGCAAAAAATGCCCACCCTTTGTATCTGTAATACAGTATGTTGCCAAGGATGATATCTTCTCGACGACTGACCGCTGCATTCAAGAAATCATGGTGATCTGCAACGTGACCTTTAAACAGCGAATCACATAGACGCGATGAGCTACACACATGAAATGGATCGACTCTGCACATACGTTGAAAAGGTCTTCACCATGGAGCGCCATAATGGGTCGAAACTTGCGGAATTAAGGATGCAGAGCAGGCGACTACCCTTGGTTGTGTCTAGAACCCAACGAGGAACAGGGCCTTTGGTGAACTTTTGTTTCGCGATCTCGGAAACCTTTTCTGATATGTCCGGCTCACACGCGCGTTGCTGCTTGATGTAGGGATGATTCAGGAACCCTGTTAGACAGGTGTCTTCGCAAACATACCACGGGTAGAAACCTCGGGGTTGAAGGAGATGACCTGCTGAAACATGAATCATTGACTGAGGACGCCGTGAACAAAAATCCTTGGTGGTTTGATCAAGGCACAAACTGTGGGACTCCACGACTTGCACTGAGTGAGTCTAGTGGCAAGTGGGTCTGTCTGCTGTTCTTCGCGACTATCGCGACCTGTAAGGGTGAAGTGTATATTCCTGTATTTGCTCGGACCTGGTAATAATAGCGCGCTGCAGTTGGAAATCAGCCGTCATCTATTAAACATGACACAATTTCTGTTCGTTTCATTCTGCGTAATGGTGAGCCACCATCTATTCAATTGGTTTATCTACTGGAGACGGATCAAACACGGGCAATCGATGCAAGTATCAGAGCTAGCAAACCCAAACCGTAGGTAGTGTAATGGATAAAGAAAATCACTGTGAAGATTTTGATAGAAGTTTGCTGAGCGCAGCCCAACCCTTGGTATTTTCGAATGACTGTAGAAAAGCATCAATATCTGAATCTGATTCTTCGCAGTTCGTCGGCGTGTCTGCTTCCCATCGATTGAAGTGGTGCCTGTTAAGCATACCGAGACAATCCACAAGGAACGCCCATAGGGATGAGTCTATGTGGGAGGGTGCGGAAAATTTCTTCATACGACCCTGAAAAACGTACTTCTTCTCGCCACATGCCACAGCGCCTAAAGTCGCCCATTCATCCAAGGGGCGCAATCCCCGTGGTAGAGGGGCTCCATTCTTGTAACGCAAGGAAATCCAGGCGAAGCACCACATGAACGACTCCAGATCATGACGATATAGGTGCTTGACTTCGCCTCGTTGACCCTCTTCAGTGAGGAGATCGAGCGCCATGAACGGCACCGTGCCCGTGCGCTCATTACCCCGAGGACCTAAGTCATCTGCTAACGAGGATAGATCGTAGTCGTTCAAAACGCCTATCCGCTTGTCGTCTTTCCAGTACCACATCAGATTTCCCGGACTGACATCTCGATGATGGACCCCTTCCTTCCACAGAGTAAGGTGGCCTGCATGTGATGTCAACAAAGAGACATGTAAATTCCATGAAACACGTACATGAAATACACTGACGCCAGACGTCAAAAAGCTCTTTGCCGTGAAGCTGGGTGATGGGGAGGAGCTTGGGGAATACAAGAATATAGAGCACGCGACTGCCTGTAGTGGGTGCCGGAACACCGAGCGCTTCTCGGATTGCGGCTGTGGGATTTGTGAACGTGTGGTGCCAAAGCAGTTGAGGAACATGGTCTTGGACAGTCGCGTGCCTCTTGGCGATCTCCTCGACCTTTTTCAGGATCTCCGGCTCGCTAGTGCGACTCGCCTCTCCCCAAAAGATCTTGGCCACCATCCCATCCTCGAACTTGCCGAATTTCTTCGTGAGCGCCTCGCTAGTGACAGGGACCACATTGGTCGCACGTCCTTGCAGTCCGTAGTGCTTCACTCTTTCATCGTGGCTGGTATGGAGGAGCAAATCCACCTCTCCAAGGTTTTCGTCATCGATTTTGACTTCGTGGCATAGCTTCCCCTCAACTTCGATTGGGAGGAAGTCTTTGTTTCGGCCCCAATCGTGAAGGTCGAAGCGTTGTAAAGCATACAACAGCACCAGGAATCGCGGGAGATCTTGAATGAAGTTGATACCTGAGCATTGAATGATCCCTTGCCGATCATAATACCAGATCCACATTACATCGTCTGGAAAAGCTGTGGTAAGAGCGCGACGAATCTCGATAGACGAACGAGCTCACCGACGACGATAATATTCAGCAAATAATTGACTCCAAGATTGGCCGCAAACATCTCGGCGGCATACAGACCCGTCTGAACGGTCACATCTGGATCCGCGTCCGCGTCAGCGTCAGTGTCCTTGTCGTCGTGGTTCCCCTTGGATCTTTTCGCAGCGGATTCTTCCAAAGTGTCTGTGGCCTTGCGCTTGGAGCTAGACCTGCCCTTGGAATGTTGTGCAGTAGTAAGGCCGGAAGATTGAACTGCTGCTGGGCCGATTTAGTTTGATCTTGAAATCGAAAATGAAATTGCTTACCTGCAGTGTCAGACGCAGGTTGTGTTGCTGGGGTATGCGAAGGGCCTGGCGCAGGTACTTCAGCCTTAAGATGATCCACCGGCAGATACTCTGGTTTGGTAGGGACACTGGTCTGTCACTGTATACGTAGGGGATGGTGACTTAATCCCTTTCGTCCTCCCAGCTGTCTTTCTCTTGAACTCGATGCAAGCTAGAACATCTTTCCATGGGAGTTTTTTCGGCTTAGCTGTTGCATTCGTGTCCATATGAGCCTTGCGCTTCTTCTTGCGCTGGTCGTCATCCTTCTCGTCGTTCTTTTGTGCGCCCTTCTGTTTGTTGCTCTGTTTGCCCTTCTTGTTGCCCGTCTCATCCTGGAAGGGAGCGCATGCGCTATTCAAAGGAAGAATCACGACGTCGGGCTTCCGAATCGATTTCTTGGTCTGGTGCATCTGGTGCATGGGCATATCGTTCTGCTGGCAGATCATGTCCACGGCAGGGACAGGAGCACGCATCCCATCAACCTCTGATCTCTTCAAGACAAGCGAGGGCGATGTTAGTGGCTCTTATAAAGGGCTGTAGAAGTTGTTCTCCACTCCTGGACATACGCTTGCGATTATTTTGAGCATCAGAACGTTTGATCAACGAACTTAGAGAAAATCACTCACTATTCGTTGAGGGCTGTCTCGATGTCAGAAGACTTTACGAGGGCAGTAGAAGCCTGCCCATTGCAAACAGGCAGAACCGCCTTGAGACACTTTTGCAGAAGCTCGGGCTGTTCGGTCTCGGGAGCAGAAGAAGCGCGCTGAAGGAGGGCTTGCAGCATGGCATCTGCCTTGCACTCCTTGACCTGCTCTATATCCCGTTGAATCCATGGGCCGACCTTCTTGACTCTTGATGGAAAGTCAGGTTCTACTCAATAAAGACAGGAAATGTGCGCACTTGACACCGAGCACCCCGATGTTCTCGCTGACAACAGAAGCCCCACGGCTGTTTGGGGTTGATTCTATTTTGCTAGCACCATAAGCTGGTGCATTGGTGCGTGGAGGAGTAGACTCAGTTTCGCCGGCAGGGGACATGATACTAGGTGTTCAGCGATTACGCTGATTGAGTGTTACGAGCAGAGTTGGTGAAGAGGAAGAGTTAAGAAGATAACAGAAACAACTGCCTTCCTTATATCTGGTCGACCAGTGTGGCGCAAATGTTGTGGACCATCAATCATTAAATCTCAGATGTGGATTGATGTGGCGGTTGGTCGAAGACGCGTTCCCATCAACACGTTCACGTGACCCTGACATGAGTCCGTAGTCACGGTATTAGTACTACTAAATCGGATCCATCTATCATACTCAGTGCATCAATCCATCACAAACAAGGTCGATAGCATCGCACCAGGCCCATCAGTTTATGTTTCTCATGGTACTTTACCATAAAAATGGTGCTCTGTAATACGCAACTCGAATTATTTATGATATCGATCCGGGCTTATCATGCTAGTGCCTAGAAACATTATATGATTTCTTCTAAGAATCCTGATTTCGGAATTTATATTTTCAAGTTAGGGTGGAATGGAGTCCGACGCTCGCTCCAGCCTGAGGTTCAGAAAGAAGACAGATGCTCATGCATATGACTCAGTTACACTTCTCGCACACAATGGTTACCCCTTTTAGATCTTCCTTGTAAATGAATATATCGCTGTGCCTTGGCTCTTGGACGATATCAGATGATCAACAAGTTTGAAAAGTACGGTCATCATTGGTTCAACGGTGTTTGTAACCCAGACATATCAGATCCCTCGTCCACTCCTAATCCCCCACAGGAAACCCCCCTAGGCTCCAGAACCTACCTTCGCTCATATACTCCCCAGTCAATCTCGCAGCCAAAAGGAAGAGCGATCCGTCTAGAGCTTCTGCACCCTCCAGTTCCGTATCCTTGAAGTAACCCTTGGGCCGTGCGCCATAAATGGATGAGAAATGCGCAAAAGCGCGCTGAATCTTGGGCATATGTTCGTTTGGGTGCGTTATCACAGACTGAACAATATCGAGGAATGGGTTAGCGACCTTGGTTTCTGACGAAGGACGTGAGGTGGCGCTCAGGAAGCCTTGAATGTCCAGTCTAGGGAAACCGCATGCGATCCACCACCCAAGAGTCGATGCGAAGTATCCACGAAGCAAAAGAATTTGCGAGTTTTGTGGCAGGTAAGCCAACAGGGATGGAAGGAAGAGACTTGAGGTGACGAGATGCATGCTGGAGCACCACAAAAATCAGTATTTTTTGCAGATAGCAGATTTGACGCCACTTACTATGTGAAGTCTGCTGTGAAGCTTCTGTCTTTGTTCCATCCGCCAATGGTGTAGATGATAGTGCTTGTCCAAATACATTCTTCCATCTTACGTTCGATTTCGCCTGGCTGCGACGGATCGATCGTCCATTGTTCAGCGTAGTGCCATAAAGTATCACCGTGCTCGGACATCAGGCCATCAAAATTGTTAAAATGCTTCTTGATTTCCTTCGGTGTGAATGTCGAATCTTGCATGATCTTGGCAAGAATAGAGAACGCATGGTTCCTTGGCGGTTGTTCGAGTTGAGAGGGCGCAGTAGATGTCTTTGTGTTAAGGACGAGGGCGGCAAGCCAAGTTGTTGCCTCTTCCACTCCAGTTGTGCCGCTGGGCTCGAAAAGACGCGACGGCAAGAACTCATAACTATGCACGCTGGCCAATGCAAGACCTTGAGATGTCTGTCAGCGACTTTTCTACGGCGATGTGTCACGTTGCTCGCCTTCGACAACCATGCCTGGGATGCCTAATTCCGCGCCGTATCCTACATGGATGAAGGCGTGGAACAAACCTCCAAGGAAGCGCGCCAACATCACCGGCTGGGCGGACGCGTCTCGTCCCTCTATAAAGTTGTACTTCTTAGAGAAGATGTATTCCTCTAGCGTGGAGCTGAGGCTCCTTTCATCGATAACCTTGATGAAGAAGGATTTGTACGCGGCGTAAAAGCTGGCAAGAAATTTATTGAGCAGGCCGTTGAAGTAAGAATCATAGACTCACTTGTCATCACCTAAATGTTCAATAAAGTTCTCTTCTGTGACAGCCTCGGGAGACTCAACGGCTGGGCGCTGGTAGGTGCTGTCTTGTTTGTAGAACTCTTCGATCAGAGATCCACTCGCGCCTGTGACAAAAAGTGCTAGTGCGCGATGAGTGATGTGGCTTCATCGACATTTCGAATCAGTAACATGAGATATAGATTAGTTAAGATGCTTACGCACTTATGGAACCGCTTGTGGTTGAAGAAAATGTGGTACTTTGTATAGTTTTCCTTCAAGACATATGCCAAAGCTACGACCGCTTCTGGGGAAACACCAGGATACCGCGGAGGGGAAAGCACGTTCGGCGGGGAAGATGGGGAGGGGAACAAGGCATCGAGCTCGCTCCCTGAATGAATTTGTTGAACTGCAGCCATATTTGAGAGGGAAACCAGAATGCGGAATGCCATGTGTGTGTGGGTGGATGAATTATATGCTTGTCATATAATCACGCTAATGCATTTTAGGGGATCCGGATCATATCCTATGTATAAGCGCCTTCGGGCGGTTGCACATTGATTCATAATACATAATAGACGTCTGTATACTATATTAGCCATTCTCTCTTCCTCTCCTAGGCCCTTCCGGCTGTCAGTATGTTTCGTCATTGTCCGTGTGAGTCCATGCTCACCATAATCTCCTGGCGATGCATCATTGAATTCGTCTAAGATGTCGGACAATCAAATATTTGATCCCTCGCAGGAAACCCTTCTTGTCCCATGGTCTCGCCCATATATTCCTAGTTGATCTCGTGGCCTTGAGAGCGATCCTATCTAGCGCTTCCGCGCAGTTATGGACCCTTGAAGTAGCCCTTGCGCCGTGCGCCATACAGTGAGATAAATAAACGCGCACCGAGTCTTCAACATATGATCGTCTTAGGTAAAGTGGCGCTGAGGAAATCTTGAATGTTTAGTCCAGGGAAGCCAGAAAGTCCGATTTTGGCCGGTCTGTGTGAAATCTATGAAAATGGGTGTCCTGCCCTGGCCAGTGAGTTTCTCAGATTCAGCAGGTGTCGGGAAGTCTGTCAAGGCCACCGCGCGGTGTCACTATATCCCGCCATCAGGATCTTTATCTGACATAATGTCATTGCCCGCAGCTCCCGGTCTACAGCTGCTATGTCCTCCCTCCAGGTGACCAGAGCCGTGACGGCAAGCTGACAAAAATGACGAGGTTGGCATGACGGTTGACATAGACGGCGGGATGCGTGATGGTGGCTGACGTAGATGGCAGGGTGGTTACGGTAATGCAGACAGACCTTTGAACGTTCGGAACTTTGGGACCACAGACGTGTCTCCAGATCCTCCAGACTTTGGCAGAGTCTGCGCAGACTTGATACAGATTGAACATTTTCTACATGTCAGTGAAGCCGCGTGTGACTAACGAAAGTGCACTGTTCCTATAAAGCCGACGCATCTCTTCAAAATTTAGCAGCCTGGCGTCCAGCATGAACATGGAACGCAGTGCACCGGTTAGTGTTCCAGACTAAGCTTTTAACTTACAAGTCTACCATCTCTGCTCGTCCAACTTCGCACAGGACATATCTTCCCTGAACAAATATCTCCACAGAATATCGAGATCACCCTCCCCGATATGTCCGGCCTGCGAAGAACGAGAGGAATCAGTACATCATTTCGTACTATCATGCCTGGCATACGCAAGACACAGAGCTTGAAGGCCGAGCTGGGAACGCGAGCGCAAAGCCTAAAAGGCCTCCCGAACGACGGGAAAAGCGTTAAGTTAGTTCTCAGGTACATCGCTCGCACGAAACGCCTGGAAAACACGGTGCCCCCCGAAGAAGTAGAAGCGAACCCAATATATGCGCTAAGTGCTTAGCCATCTACCTCCCCCAATCGCCTTAAGACAGCATTGATCGTCCTCGCGAAAGCCTGGATCATGATTTTACAGGACTCCCATGCTGAAAATGAACATAGAGTACCATAAATGTCTGTCATAGGGCTTCGCCCCCATGGACAATAAACAAGGACTCAAAAAAAAGTCTACCATGAGTATGGCGCAGCGCTTCCCCTCTTGTCTGGTAGGCGACACTATACATGAGCAGGTTTAGGTCTCTGCTGAAGAGAGAAAATGTATAGTGCAGACGAGGAAATAAACCAGCGCCGGAAGAAGGGTTCATATCGGGTTTATAGCTGGAAAAAAAGACTGGTGCACAGGCCACGTTTAACTGAGTTGTCCCAGGAGTTTATGTACTTATGCCAGTACGTGCGTCAATATCTCATTAAAGGAGCCGTCCCTGCTTACCTCGTTCCCTTCGTCTTCCAGTCGTCTGTTTGGTTCGAAGAGTCTGACTGGTAGTTGTATATCGGGAAGTGAGTAATTTTCATCCACTATTTGTTTGCACTTGAGCTTCGTTTGGGTACGGCTGGTGTAGTTCAATCGAACACCTCCGAGAGTTTGCAATGGGGCACTTGAAACCAATGATCTCGCAGCGAAATGGAAGACTGTTTGGAGGGATGGTATTAAAGGAGTCTGTGACTGGCGGTATGAGCGAGACTAATACTTGTTCGCCTATCTTCTAAGTCTTATGCGCCAGTGAGTTCTGGTACTACATAAAGAAGGTCGTCATGCTACATAGAAACTTTCGACTGAACTAGTAGCTCGGCAAGTATCTGTCTGAGTTTGAAATCATGAACTGGCCGCCCATTAACTTCATCCCCGATCAATACAAGGTCGCATTACCTCGGGCCCGAATGACAAGATAAGTCGTGCACGTTAACGTTGATCGGTTGACTCGTTGAATATTATAGGTAAGTATCAAGTAATAAATGATAGTAATCATGTCAACGCAGTGATGCCCATCGCTAATCATTATGTTTGTTATGTTGCGACAGAGCCCTATGTGTGACAGACTTGTCACTCGAACGTGTTGACTTTGAGAACGCGACATGCACGGGATGACCAAGCACGGGTTCTCAACCAACGCCCATATAGTGTCATTGACACCTCAAGGCCTCATTAATCATTCTTACCTGCATCGCAATCCATCTGGGGCTCTCGGACGTCATCTAAAATGCAGGTTTGGATTGTTGAGTTACCGAAACGACTAATATTTGTCTTTCATCATGACACCTTCTATCGGCATATCCAGGTCCCCGTGATGCTACCGGTGCGATTCGCAAATTCGCCTTAACAGCGGCGGAATGCAGTATTTGCGCAGCCATTCATACTAGTCATCGTAACTAGTGGGCGCCCTCTCTGGACTATATAAGACGGGGGCGGCGACAGAAAATCCTTCATCAATACCATCATCTCTACTATTATGGCACTCGTTCTACCCACCTTGACCGCCTTCACCACTTCCCGTCTCACAGCCATTTTGACGGCCAAGACTCAAGCGGATTTCACCGCAGCGTTTGATGCGCTTTTCGCCCGCAATCTCAATGTTGTTTACAACGGAAAGCAACTTTCGCGGGAACAGTATCAGGCGCAGTTGCTCGGTCAGAGCAGTGCTGCTGTTGAAGAGCAAGGCGCGAGCGTCAGTGTTCAAGGACAACTAGAAGTCCCCGGCAACGACGGCCAAATCGTAAGAAAAATATGTATATTTCGTGCTCTGCCATCCCATTGAAGAAAATCGCAGTCTGGTATTGTCGGTCTATTCTACAGTTCCCTTGTTGACTCGAGGTTCCTCGTCTTTGGAGCTCCCGCGGAGAGCAAAGTGACTTCTTCCTTTAATGCAACGTAATATCTATTTGTCATCTTGGTTGCTCAGCCATCTGATCATCTTACACTCCGCAGCATTCAGGCTACAGAGCCTCGACCTCAGTCTAACCCCCGCATTCGCGGATATTTTGACCCCCGTCGCATAGTGACGGTGAACCAGATTGCCACCGAACAAGCTCTGCATGTCACCATTCCTACCGCTTCCATCAACTCAACCTCACCTGGCGTCACTACTAAGAATTTCGCGCTTCCGCAGGGGCCATTTGGTGCACCCTTTGGTCCCGGACCCGTACGCTTGGGCCCTACAGAGACAAATGCTGTCCCAGAGACGTCCCCAGGGGACGGGGAGTTTGGTGCTCTTCCACCTTTGATCCCCGGGGAAACTATCGGTAAAGAGACAAATACCAAGGCATGAGTATCTCAAATCATATCTCATACTGTACGAATATCCATGACAGGGACATATGTTGACCTATGTATCGCTACTTGTACATTACAGTAACAGTTCGAATAATCTTTCTGAAGGCAAAAATGATATCATATAAACTTCGGAGCATACGGCATGATTCAGTGAATGGAATATGGGCCTACGGCTAAGAAGTTGAGTATCGATTCAATAAGGGTGGCATTAATCGCGCGATGTTAACAGGCATGATTCAAGAATATTCCCCACGATCTGCCTTTACCTAACTAGATGTCAACGACAAAGACGCAGAATCGAGACTCGAACCACTCACATCAGCCTCGCTCTCCGTTGGACAGGGCTCTCTCACAACTTCGATTGTCTCCTCATGGACGACGTGGCGCTTAATGGTACGCCCGTCTGAATCTATGTCAGTGCCCTCCTGATCTATTCCAAGATCACCAGCACCGACAACGCCTTCAAACTCACCCACTCTGGCGGTACCAAGGGGACCAGTTACTTCGTCTTTGAGGTAGGATGCCTCTCTGTGATCCATTCGCTCGTCTGCTTGGTGCTTCGCCTTAACAAAATCAATTGTCTTGCGCTGAAGATCATTAAATGTGACGGAAGAGCGATCAGCCTACGAAATAATGTCAATTTCATGTTTCTCGATGTACATTGTACTAAGCACCTTCACGTGTGCTTCAGATTCAGACGCGAGATCTTCGTTCCATCCTGGTGCGTCATCATTCGCGGAAATTTCAAGCTGGGTACCGGACAAGTTTCTTCGTTTCTCTCGCTCCAGCGTCTGCAATAGAGGAATTTCGTTCTGCTTCAGGGGCAGATAGTAGGAGCGGACGCACCTCCGGGTCATTTCCATGCATCGTACTTTTGTAATAAAGTCACGATGAGCGCAGTTGTAAATGGTATCGAATTTGCAACCAATACCTAGTGTACCGTCTTCCATCATCATACCGTCGGCTTGACAAGGTGTCTACTTTGCGAGCACACCCCGCACTCGCATATCGCGACGAAGCTCCGAGTGTTTTCTTTACAGAACAGCGTATTGCAGTAAGATAGCTCATTGAATGTGGTTTGCTTGGCGGAGAGGGTGAAAGACACTCGTACACTGAAACATTGTTGCGCCCCTAACGTCATCTGAGCCAAAACGTTTATGATGTCATAAGTGTGGAAACACCCGTTTTGGCATCAATGTGTGCACGCCAACTCCGGCCAGCAACTACCATGATGAGTCCAAGAAACCACTTATAATGGCACCTGAAAGCAAGAGCATTGTTTGAGTGAGTGGACACGACATGTACAAAAGCCCGATATTTGCTAATGAGCTGCACAGTAACTTAAAGCGCTGGTGAAATTTTTCTTTCATGAACTTGGATCATATGCAGGCCATGTCGGGGAGCATTTGATCCCTCCGTGGGTAATTTTAAATTTGGTCCATGTAATGGAACGTGTTCCATCAAGGACTAAGGAAATAGTCCTGCCCTCATGTCGTCATATCCGGTGCAAGACTAGACTCCTGCACCATTTTTTGAACTGGGAGCTGCGCATTGCTCGGCGGGTTACTAGTTAGACCGGTTTTGGATGCAGCACAGAGCTTGTCCTCAACTTGGAGCCGAGGTGTCTTCAAACCGAACGTGCTGTGAGTGACAGCACTCAATGCCATGTCAAAACCCGTTTAATCGAATGTGCTTTCTCACAGTTCCCGAAATCTAGTTCACAATATCTCTGGTGGTACTCGAAGACACATATCTGTCAAGTCCTTCGTTCGGTAATACTCTGGTGCGTTGGTGATGATAATACAAATACTTTGTTACTTCTACCCGGATCCCACCCTATCTCCCAGCCACCAGTACCGCTCGATATCTGATCTCTCCCCTGTCGAGTTTAGCCATAGCTTCTTCAATTCCCTCGACCGTCAGCGGGAACTCTTGAGTGATGGGTTTGATGCCGTGGATAGCTGCAAATCTTAGCATCTTGACGTGGACACCACGCGATGCACAAAAGATTCCCTGTATTGTCAACCCCTTTGAAATGATAGGTGTATAGGGGATGACCAAATCCCCATGAGATACGGTGATAGGATAAATAGTAGCGTTGGGCGCCAGAACCGAGAGGAAGCTATGAATCACATAAGTCAATCCAAAAACACACCGGTACCTCGAGATAAGACTCACAGATTCCAATCAGGGAGATGCGAAGTTGTAACAAATAGGTGCTTAATTGGCTTCCCGACTTCATATTTGCTCGCACTTCTCGTATAAAACTCTTTTGCACCCAGACTCCTCGCCTCTTCCCTCTTATGATCGCTTCCAGAGAAAACTACGACCTCGCACCCCATTTTTGCTGCAAATTGGATGGCAATGTGACCAAGACCACCGACACCTATAATTCCCACTCGGTCTGCAGGTCGGACATTATACGAATACATCGCGTTGAATATCGTTGCTCCGGCACACATCAATGGCGCCGCGTCAGATGAACTGATAGTATCGGGAATATGGAAGAGGAAAGCTGCCTTCCACACCGCATGGGAAGCGAATGCACCTTGGTCAGTGTTGGAGTGTGCATAAGTGGCCCTCTCAGGGCAGAAAAACTCGTTCGCGTTGAGGCATTCATCACAGTGCCCACACGTATTGTGGAGGAATCCCCAGCCAGCACGATCGCCACTGTTCAAACGCAACACAATCAGCTACGCAACGGCGCAAACAACGAACGGGTGTACACTTTGAATGCGGTGACCTGCGATCCGACCTGCTGCACGACGCCGACACCTTCATGGCCGAGAACCATGTCCTCCGTCTTGTAATGTTGGTCTGTGCCGCACAGGCCAGCATGAGTGATTTTGAGGAGTACCTCGTCCGGTTTGAGGCTTTCTTTGTGAGTCTTTGACTCGACTATCTTTCCAGCGGGGGAGCCTTTGAAGACGGTGAAGTCAATTCCAGTCATTTTAGTCGCTGTCCGTAGGGGAAGTGGATGCCAAGCACTATGCGAATACATAATCTCAGGCCAGACCTTTTATATTAATGGGAAGCTCCATCAACATGCAGGGTGGGAGCTCAAAGAAGAATTGGTATTTGTTATCCGGATCCTATGAAGGTAGGCATCGTTATAACTGTTATAGGTCATCAAAGATGTGCTAAACACAAGGAGATGATATATACGAGAGAAATCAGGGTTCATGAACGTTCATATGCCTTATGAAGCTGGCTTGCCATGGCACCTGATATGATTGCCAAAAGCGTCATGGTCCAGCTATGCACTTCGTTATCGAGAGACTTGGGTTGCAGTTTATTCTATGTATAATACCTGGCGCTTACAAGGGCCAAGGGTAGACGTGTCAGGCCACGTGTTCGATAGAAGGACTCAGCGCTTGTCTTCCACATGATGTTTCTTCACTTCAGTGCGGCGCGATACGAAAAGTGTTAATGCGGCTGAGGCGTTTCCATATCTCCCCGGCCCGTCGACACAGCGCTTGTTCGAGGACGTTTTCAGTTACGCCTGCCGAATCCCTGACCCGAGATTTTGGCGATACTGATCTCGCAACACGCCGAATCACTATGAAGGTACGTGAATTCCCATGACTTGTTTTGCAAAAATAAAGGCCTGTCGATATAAAGGCGCCAAGGTACATTACTTTAGCCATGAATATCTTAGGATGTACATAAGAATCCTAGGAAATTGATCATACTTCAACCGAACCAATGCCAACGCCGCAAAAGCCCACTCCCCTCAAGTTCCAGCGGCATCCGGTGTCCTGTGCGCCTCCAGACTGATCGAATGCTCGGCTTATCACCGTGACCTTGGTCTTCGAGCGCCCGTTCCTCTGTCCTTGGTTAGCCAGCTCAAGAGCATCAACATCGATGTCTGCTACGACTTCGCCTTCCCACAGTGACCAACTCCAGTTACCCTCTTGGTATGTGATTTGTACTTCGTGCCATGTCTCACCGCCATCCGCGCTGACTTCGACACGCGAGATAGGGGAGTTGGAGTAGGCGTAACCTGTGACTTTAAGAGTCTTCTGGTCAGGACAGGCAAATGTCAGACACTGGACGTGGGCGACGACCGAGTTGCAGTTAAGCCGTTGCATTGCAGGTATACGGCTCCACCAATCCTCCTTAACCGCCGTCTCTGGAGAGGAAACCTATTTGCAGCAAAGATGTTGGACGTAAGCGCATGCTGAGATATGGATGACATACACATTCAGGCAATATCTTGTAATCACACTGCTGATAGAAGTTGGGCGATTCATTCCTTGAAATAGTGATACGGTCCACCCATTTAACCCATCGCATGCCAAAGTAGCCAGGCACAACGACGCGCAAAGGGAATCCATGATCAGGCGTCAGGGGCGCATCATTCATCTAGCGGGAAACGTGAATATACGCGTATCTCTGAAATCAACAATCTGACCTCATAAGCAAGCATAGCGGCACCGTCCTCGGCCATGACCTCCTCAAGAGGAATAGACCCTCCATAACACTTGTCATCCTCGCACGGGGCAACATTCGAAGCAAAGCAGACATGGAAACCTTTCTGAGCGTCTTCCTGCTCAGGAACTCCTGCACTGATCAATATGTCACGCAGGAGTACACCGCCCCAGCGCGCATTCGCAATGGTACCCTCGGACCACTTGATACCTCGGACTTCTTTCCCGGTGTTTTCTTGCATCCTGGCACGACGGTTACCAGCGCACTAGATAGTCTGGTGAGTGTGTTTATTTTTGAAATGCCAGGGATGACCTACGACGAGAGCAGCCACAACCACCTTTCTTGGAAAGGATGCGATCATGTCCTTGACGTTCAATACCTTCTCTTCCATCCCCTCCATTTCGCCGTCTATCTTGACCGTATAACTGTCAGATTCAGATGCCAGATCCTTTATCACAGCTGCGGATGCCACAGATGCCATTTCATCAGCAGTGTCCGCGGTCGAGCGACCAAGCATTCGAGAATGAAAATGGGACGGGATGGAATATCCAGGCACAACATCAGATTTGATCGCGGATGATAGGATTGAGAACCGGAGTTAGGTGCATTGTGAGAGACAGAAGAGGCGTAGCATAGTTTAGAAGAAACGTACAATGGTTACGGGCATATGCCAGGTGCAGCGGTGTAATAGTGTGCTTTGTGAGCTC